GCGCAAGGTGGGCCTTTGGGGCGGGCCCCTGGAGCCCAGCCTGGAGAGGACCCCAGCGTGGGGACACCTGCTCCACTCCAGGCTCCTGAGCCGACTCCGGGGACCTCCCAGGGAGCTGCAATCAGAACACCGGAGAGGGGCCCCAAAACATCCTGGGCGTGGGTCACGCATGCAGTCCCTGGAGAGGAGTGTCCCCCGAACGCCTCGCTTTGAGCTACAGTGGAATCTGAGCGTCTGCGTGTGTGCAAGGAGTTCGGGTGCCGCGCTGGCGAGGACGAGGGCCGGCCCCCGGGGAAAAGCCGCTCCGTGACGCCTCTGCATCGTCAAACTCCATCCACCTCGAAGGCACTGGGGGGCCTGGGCGGACCAGACGAAACCAGGGTCCCAGGGCCCACCCCAGGGCAGGTGCGTCCCAGCATCTGCGGGGCCCCAGCCCTCCCTCTGCTTATGCACCTTCTCCTTCCCTTCCCCCTCAGCATCTCCCCCATACGACCTCACTGAGTCACCGTGCTGAAGGTAAACTTCACCAGAAAGGAGAAAAACCCACGAGAGGGCATCAGAGTGGACCGCGCCGAGGGGGCAGGTCAGGGACGGAAGGGAACTTACCGTGGTCGATGGGAGCATTGTGTCACGGAAGCGCGCCCCGCGCTGCACCAGCTCGCACCCCACTTTCACGACGGCCAATCCCGCCCCTCCGGCAGCTCTGTGCGGTGCCTGAGACCAGCCTCGAGCTCCACTCACAGGCGAAGGAACACAGTTCAAGGAAGCAGCCCGTGTCTAGTGAGAGCCTGGTCCACTGTCCCAGCTCTGCCTGAGTAGCGTGGACTCGGGCGCATTCCCTCACTCCCCGACTTTCCTTGAATCTGAGTTGGGACAGGAGCCCTGTTTCCCGACACCCAGTCCAGGACACTCTGATCTCGGCCCACGCTGTGTGGCTGTGACAGAGACCCGGAACGTGGAGGACTCGTTGCCTCAGACGTGTGTAAGCAGAGAGCGGCTTCTGCAGCAGTCAGCCTCCTACAGCTCGGTCCCCGGGGAGCAAGGCGAGAGCCAGGGCCGAGGTGGGGGCAGGCGCTGCTCCCAAAGCCAAGGCCCCGGGAAGGCGGGAAGTGCTGCCTCCTGTGCACCTTCCAGGCCAGGCTTCGCAGGGAGCTCTGGGTGGACTGTGTTCCCTGGGCACAAGGCCCACAGCCCTCCCTGCTGGGTCTGTGGCCCAGGGGCGAGTGGGAAGGCACCGCGTCCCAGCTTGCTTTCTCGGGGCTGCTCCTCCTGTGGCTTCCGGAGCAGTGAGCGTCTCTGCCGGTGTGGACGGAGGCCCTGCATGTGGGATTCTGCGTGGTGGGTGGGGTTCCGTGGGCCAGGCCGTGCTCCCCTAACCACGTGGGATGCTTCCGTGTCCAGAGCAGCCTGAGACTTCAGTTGAAATGTGGCTCAAGCCACAGGATCAGGGCCAGAAGTGACAGAAGCCGTGTCCTCAGGGACGTCACAGTGGCCGTGGTGGTTACCAGCCCTTGCTAGTGTGCATCAGCACCTGGTGGCCCTGGGGTCCAGGTGAGAGCAAAAGTTCTGGGATTAGAAGATTCCGGGCCCTTGTCCCCTCCTTCTCTGGGGCTCTGGGACAGTCCCGACTGCTGCCTGGACCCCTGCTCTCCCTTTGGAGCCTGTTGCCCCGCTCCCACCACTGGCTGCGTCAGAGCAGAGGGGAGAACGCCGAGCCACGTGCCTCGCCAAGAGCACCGTCCCTCGCAAGCCCCACCCCCACCCCCAGCTGATCCGAAGCCTCCTGATCCCACAGCCTTTTGATCAGCTGATGGCTCCCGAGGTTGATGACCTGACAGGTTTAGGACCCTCTCACCTACTGATGAGCGGAATGCTCAGCACCCTGTGAGGACAGTCTGCTTCTGTGGACATGAAGAGCCATTGGGTGAGCTGATCTCTGCAGGTGACTTTGATCTTGAATTCATCCATGCAGTCTGGGTGATCACCTACCGCTGTGGATCAAAGCTTCCTGCTCCTTTTCCCCGATTCAACTGCCTGCACACCGCACCGAGGGAGGGGGCTCCAGCGTCATGCTCCGGTTATTCAAGGGCCATGTGTCTCTGTGTGACTAGGAAATGCTCGCCATCACAGCCTGCCCGGGGCAGCCGAGGTCTCCGTCAGCAGTCAGCCCACCTGTGCTGCCCGGGTTTACTGTAGAGGGTGACTTGTTACGCTCCCTCGGTGTTCGCCCTTGACCTGGTGTCAGGGGGGTTGAGTGGGTTCATCTGCCACAAGGTGGGGGGCAGATTTGCAGCTTGTTTGGCAAAGGTGAGAGTCCAAAGGGCCTGACTCAGGGGGAGAAGAGTGATACATCAGAGTTGGCCTGGGAAGTCTCAGGGGCAACAAAACCGCAAGGAGCAAGGGGTGGCGGGGGGGTAATAGGGGTAGGGGTCAGTGAGAGCCTTCTAAAGAGCTAGCTGCTAATGAGACTAATCTCTTCAGAAATTTTCACTGAAGGTTTTCCTCTGCCAACAGGTAGATAAGTGTTGATAAACATTTAAAAGCACTTCTGGGCCCTGGCTGCCATAGCTCAGTTGGCTGAGTGTCCGTCTTGCAAAGCATCCGTCACTGGTTCAGTTCCTGGTCAGGGCACATACCTGGGTAGTCGGCCCGGTCTCCCATTGCGGGGCATGCCAGAGGCAACTGACTGATGTTTCTCTCCCTCCCTTTCTCTCTCCCTTCCCTTCTCTCTAAAAACAATAAGTAAAATCTTTAAAAAAATACTTCCCAGAAAATGAGTGCTTCTGAGCCTGGCAAGGGAGAAAGAGCTGCGGGCCACTCGGCCACTGTTGGTCACAGATAAGAAGGAGGAGACTCAGGTGGCCTCAGATGACAGCCCCAGCCCCTGGAGCTGCTGGTACGGGCAGAGCTGAGGTTTAGCCCTGCTCTGTCTGCCCCCAAGTCTGTTTCGGGGACTGGGGGCAGGAGGGGCTGTGCTTTCCTTTGACATTCGGAAGTCAGGGCGGGGAGAGTCCAGAAACTGGGTGTCTGGAAGAGAGTGTTGGCATGAAATGAGGGAACTCAAGTCTGGGGAGAAATCGAGATTTTTCTCCCCCCCACACAGTGACGTCCAAGGGCTGGATGGCAGGGGGCTTGCCAAGCTGAGGGGGAGTGTTCGCGCCCTTCCCCCATATCACGCCTTCCCCTGCTCAGCTGCAAAACAGAATTCCTTCTCCAGGTCCCTCTGGCCTACAGAAGCAATAGACCCGCAGCGGGGGTTTAAGGGTGTGTGATTCCAGATGTGGCCACAGGGTGGAGATACGTGGTTGTTGGGTCTCAGCTTCTGGCTCCGAGGCTGAGCCCTGCCGAGTTTGGTACATTATCACTCCTGTTAAGTGCTCCCCTGGGTGAATAAACCTCATGCCCCTGGAAAGAAGAAGAAGAAGAAGAAGAAAGAAAAGAGGCAAATGAAGCCGACTTTAGGAGTGTATTTTGTTTCCTTCCGTATAGCCAAACCATTCCCATTTCAACATGCCGTCACCGTTGTTAACCGATGGAGGAGAGGTTTCACGTTCTCTTCTCTGTGCCAAGACTTCTTTCTCCCCAGCCCACCTCCGCTGAGACCCGTGTCCTTCCGGAGCTGCTACCGCCGGCGGCCAGTGCACCTCGCAGGCCCGCGCTGGCTCGCTGGGCAGCTCCAAGTCAGGGCCCAGCCTCCTTCCCCTTCCCACAAAGCCCTGGAAACCGCACAGGAAAGCAGCCCCGTCCTCTGCATCCATTTGCGCCACTGTCTTCTCTGAAGCAACGAAGGAGGGAGCCCGGTGGAGTGCGGGAGGGGGGGGTAGACGGAACAGCCAAGGGCAAGAACACACCACCAGTTAGCATTTCAAAACTGCTTTCCTACAACAAAGGACTTTCTTTTTGTTTTCTGTCTGCCGGTGTCCCTGTCTGTGCTTCTGTGTGTCTCTGTGTGTGTCACTGAGGCCCCTTTGCCTCCCAGAACAGTAGTAAAAAGAGAGTGGGCCCTGGCTGGTGCGGCTCAGTGGACTGAATGGCGGCCTGAAAACCAAAGGGTCGCCGGTTCGATTCCCAGTCAGGGCACATGCCTGGGTTGCAGGTCAGGTCCCCAGTAGGGGGCACACAAGAGGCAATCACACATTGATGTTTCTCTCCCTCTCCCTCCCTTCCCCTCTCTCTAAAAATAAATAAATAAATAAAAATATTTTTTTAAAAAGAGAGGAGAGAGAGGGGAAGTACTGGGGATGACCCACACAAGCACAAATAATTAAAAATCTGAGAAGATCCAAACCAGAGCCTGTTCATCCACCCCCTGGGGGACTCTTACCCCTTGAATAGTCCTTTGAACGCTCTGGGCCCACGTCTCAGAGAAAACTGCACGAAGGGCGGGCACTGTTCGGCTGTAAGGTCAGCGGTGGGGGGAGGGTTTCCAGGAACTAGTATAAAGGCCACACGGACAAAACCAAGGGGGAGGGTGGGAGCAGGGGAGGGAGGGGGGTTTGGCTGGGGTCGGAGGGGAGTGGTGGGAGGAAAATGCAGACAACGGTAATTGAAGAACAATAAAATAATTTTTAAAATAAAACATTCACATAGAGAAACAAACAAACTTTCGACTTAGGAGAAATACACCCCATACTCTGAACGACCGTTTATTTAAAATGGATCGAAACACCATTCAGAGTTGAGAGACAACCCCTGAGGCCTCAGGACGCCCTTTGCAGCCACTTTGAGACCCCGACTCGGAGAGAACGAGCTGCGGCTGTTTCTTTCCTGCCCAGTGATGGCGTCTCTCAGGATGTCCCCACCCCCTTGGACCCTTCCAGCGTCTCTGCGCTCATCTGGGGTCACGGGCAGGAGCATTCTTTAACAGGAGATCGCGGATGCAGAGAAGGCACTGTTCAAACAATTTCCCTCCTAAGGTATTTTATTTCATTTCATTTCAATTGTTCAAGTGCAGTTTTCTGCCTTTTACTCCCAATGCAGCCCACCCCCCCAGCCCTCCCATTCTCCCCGCCCCCCCCCCCGCCCTGTTATTGTCCATGTGTCTCTTATACTTGTTCCTGCAAACCCTTCCCTTTTCCCCTGAAATTCCCTCCCCTCTGGTCACTGTCAGTCTGTTCTCTATTTCAGTGTCTTCAGTTTTTTTGCTTGTTTGTTTGTTTTCTTGATCAGGTTCCTGTTACCTACCTCCTCCTAAGGCATTTTAAACATTATTGATGTCTCTTATATGAAAAATAAATCTATGTTAGAGTCCAGGGGACCTGAGGCTGCTGCCCGCTGCCGGTCTTGGAGCCACAGGCAAGCTCTCCTTGGCCACCGTCTCCCCGTCTTGGAGGTTAGGGGTCCCCATCTCGGTGCCCTGGTGACCTCCTTCAGGTCCCCCCTCCCCGGCAAGCCCAGATGCCCCCCACGAGCCACATCTCTTCCTGGACTCCCACGGGACGGAGCTTCCATCTCACATACGGCTGAGATGAGGCAGAGAGACAGAAGATGGGACAACAGCCGGCAGGACGGCAGGGAATCCCACAGGTCCCCAGTGCGAGAGGGACAGCCCGCAGGAGCCCGGCTGCCTTGTTGATCACCGTGGAGGGGAGCAGGCTGGGGCCGGGCCTGGGCTCCCTGTGGCCCACCGAGACTCCGGGCGTCGGGGCTGGAGTCAGGCTTAGGTCTTCTTGATCACGCTGTACACCGGTTCTAGCTGTGGAGGTCTCTGGGCAGGATCACTGTTGTCCTTCGAATCCTGATTCTGGGAGTTGAACACCACTGTGGTGTACTGGGGGTCTTCCTGGGGGGCTTGCTGGGGGAGAGACCGAGACTCAGGGACAGGTGGGGGCATCGTGGACCCCAGCCCAGGAGGGGAGCGGGACACCCGAGGGGGCCACAGGGAGGCTCCCCTGGGGAATCCAGCCTTCCCCACTGTCCTGCCCTCTTCCTCCCAAAAGGCCTGGGCTCCGGGACCCTGTCCGCCCGCCTGCTGCCCCACCCCGCCCGGTCCAGCACACGGCATCGGAGCCGGGGGTCCTGAGGCCCACTCTGAGATCACTGGTCTCTGCGTTAGAGAGACCAGGGCGTTGCAGTCCCAGGGCCACATGTCTGATGCTTAACTCTCTCCCCTGCGTCTCCCCAGCTTGTCCCCTTTCACTAAGGGTGGTGTCGTTTGCTGAGGGAGGTCCCTCCACTGCTTCACTTTACAGCGGCTCTGCCTGGGGGTTGGCTTGCGGCGGGTCATCCATGAAAACCTGAAAAGCAGGCTTGATGCCACAGAGGTGATGGGACAATGGTGAGAAATAACACACGGGCTTTAATAGTGGGCCCTTGGTACACAGTAGGTGCTTAAGAAAAGCGGTACTTTGTTAGCTATTAGGGCCATCGTCACCAGGCATCTGAATAGCCCCTCTGTGTCCCTGTCCCAGCCCCCACCCCCATGCCCAGCCACAATGGCACCAGGATCCGGCAAAATCTACACCTGCCCCATTTCCTGCGTGGCTCTGTCCCACAAAGACACGAGATCACCGTGCCACCCCCACGGTGACGCCTCCGGCCTACTCCGGGGTCCCCGTGCCGGAGCCGGGCCCTCGCACTCACCACGGTGCTGTATTCCGCCTCCACCTGCTCCGGCCGCACGGGCGCCTCCAGAAGGGACCAAGTCTGCAGCTCCAAATTGGCATAGCAGGGCTCACTCTCCTGGGCGGCCTGGGGTGGGCGGGAGTGGCGAGGTTTGGCGACCACCCATGGAGCCCCCACACAGGCCTCTGTTCTGGATTCCCTGAAGATGTCTCCCCTCCCCTCTATGCTCTGGGGGCCCCAGGGCCAGCTTCCTGCCCTGTGTCCCCCGTCCCCCTCTGGTCCTCCGTGGGCAACGTGTGAACGCTGTCCAAGCCTTCCCTCATTCCACTTTCCTGGGAGGTGGCGGGCGGGGCAGACTGACCAGAGCTCAAGACAAGCCCCAGTGCCCCCATCTCGAGGGCGCGGGTCTTCCTGTTTGTGTGAGCACCCCATTCCTCCATCGATGACCCACCCAGACCTGTACTGGCTGGTGGGACGGCCCAACCCAACGCCCCTGTGCCCTGCCCATCCCCCAACACTCCCCCTGGTGGCCTTTCTTACCTCGCTGGGGTTCCGGGGTGGCTCTGGTTTCTTATCAGCTAAAGAGACAAGGAGAGAGTGAGGTTTGTCCCAGAGCAAGGCAGGGACAGTGGTCCCTGTGACCCATCTGGACAGAGGTCTTTCCCCAGAGACTTCTGATCTGCAGGGCAGCTGGCACTCAAGGGCTTGTTGAGAGGGTCCAGGAGGGGATGAGGAAGTGAACCAAGGAGTGAACAGGTGAGTGAACGAATAACCGAAGAAGCAGGAAGGCCTGGAGAGTGGCAGGCAAAGCTCGTCTCCGCCCTGGAGATGGTCCCCAGGAAAGACAGGCTGCCTGTCTGAGAGGCCGTGAGGGCAAGACGAGAGAGTTCCGGGGGTCTCTTAGCCAACAACACGAATACGCTTAACACCACTGAGCTGTAAACTTGAAACTGGTTAGGATGACGTGTGCTTTTAACCACAACAGCAAAAAAAGTGCAGATCCATAGGCCCTGCCCCAGACACACGGACTCAGAGGCGCTGGCGGTGCGGTTCAGCAGCCCGGCTTGAAAAAATCCTAAAATTAGTGAAGGGAACTGTGCTTGAAAAGACTTAGGCCTGCATCAAACCACAGGTCACCATGGTCTTCCGCACCGCCCCTGGCCTGGGGGTGGCCTGTCCCTCAGGCGCAGGAGGCCCAGCAGCTCAGCAGGGTTGCAGCTCAGGGACATGGCCTGTCACTGCTGCTCCTGCAGGGCAGCTCTGCAAAAGCCCTGCCTCTGCGCACAGCTCTGCGCTCCCTGGCCCCTCCAGCCTGGGCCCTTCCAGCCCGGGGCCCCGGGCTCTGGGGGCAGTGGGTGATGTGCACAGTCGAGTGCCCTTGGGGTAGGTGCATGGCACCCCTGAGTCTGCAGTGGGTGCCGCAGGTAGGGGCACTATCCACCCTGCAGGGATCCCCCCAAGTCCGTGATGAGATACCCACAGTCAGGGACAGGAGATCACGTATGACAGACGTGCTCTCCGAGCCTGCTCAGTTGAACCGACAGAACCCACACCCAGGAGCCTGAGGTGTGAACACGCTCTGTCCCAAGTGCTGCATGCGGGTCCGCACCGCCCCCACCCGCTCTGTGGGAAGGACGGAAAGAGCAGGCGGCAAAGAGACAGGAGCACATCCCCGGGGAGGGAAGGCGGCATTGAGGAAGTTCAGCAGTGGCCAGCTGGACAGTGGAACCCAGTCGACCCTGAGAACGACAGTGACCCCCAGCACCCAGCACAGGGCCTGACGCACAGTAGGTGCTCAGGACTTTGCTGTGGGAGTGAGCGAGGGAGTGAGTGAATATGTGCGTGAGTGAGTGAGTGAGTGAATGAATGAATGAATGAATGAATGAATGAATGAATGAATGAAAAGAGCAGGCTGAAGGGGGAACTGGAGCGGCTGAGGGGACAGGAGTGGGGACCATGGGAAGTCAGCCTGGACGAGGTCAGGAGACAGGAGCAGAGACCAGCAAAGCTGGGGGCGCGGGGAGAGTCCGGGTATTTGAACAGAAAGCCCGACTTTTGTCCCAGGGAAAAAATAATCCATTAAGTGCAGAAAGAAAACAACGGGTTTAAAAGAGGAATAATGGTGTGAAGCAACCTTTTAAACAAGATGCGCATAAACAGGCACCCAGAACGAGACTGGAGAACACACCTCCACTGGGCTGGTTTTCTCCGGGAGGTGGGAACTTTAGTTTTTATTTATAATAACTAGTTTATTTCCTCTGTTGTGCCTTCACTTACTTTTGAGTTGCCTACAACCATCACTCCCCCCTCTTTTGTAAAAGGGGAACTTTTCTAGGCGAAAGGGCACTGCAGGGATCGCTGGGACCCGCAGATTTGGGGACCAGGCTGGGAAAATCCCCACGTGGCAGGCAGCGTCCACGAGTGGATGGAAGTTTAAAGGGAGGCCCAGGAAAATGAGTGTGAGCGGCAGATGGGGAACAGCAACTGGCTGATGGCCACTCCGCTTTCACAGGCCTGAGCGTGGTGGGGGCGGGGAGGCTGGGGGCCCTTGGCAGGGTGGAGGGGCTGGAGAACGGGAGGCAGTGGTCCCCCACCCCGTGCCAACATGACGTTCCAGCGCCCAGGTAGCGCTGCAGCTGCGCGTGGAGGGAGACCACCCTCCCCGCTCACCTTTAAGAGGCTGAACACAAAGATTCCCCGGAGAACCCTCTGCTCTGGAAATCAAGAAAACTCTTAGGCTGGGGAGGAAACTCTAGGCTCGCACTTGGTCTCAGGCAGAAGTCTGCGCGTCACGTGTGACTGTGGGCCTCCAGCCAGCAAGGGGGGAAGGCCACGCCCTCCCTTCGTATCCAATTCTCTCTCCCAGTGTTGACTGAGCACCCACGCACTGAGTGTCAGGCTGGGTGCTGGCTGCACCCACATGTGGTCTCTTTGCATCTGAGCCCAGAGGAGAGTAACTGGGCCACGGGAGGCCTGGAGCTCTCTGGCTGCCCACTGCGGCTGGCAATATTAAGTAACATTGACATATCAATGCAACAGATACCGACTGTGTGCCTTCTCGAGTCGTGGCCCCTGATCTTAAGGGTTTGTGCGGGCTGGAGGCAGGCAGGTGAGGAAGCAGGTGGTGCCGATTTGGTGGAAAAAAGGGCGTGACGGTGCAGATACAGAGGTGTGCCCAGGAGGGCCCCCAGGTTGCTCTATGGGGGCCAGGAAAAGGCCCTGGAGGACAGGAAATCTAAGGGCAGCCCTCAGGGCCCATGAGGCGTGAGGCAGGGCTGGAGGGCGGTGCCCAGAGCGGCAGGGAAGGCGAGACTAGGGCCTGGGCCTTGGCAACTGACAGGAAGTTGGGAACGTCTACCTTTCAGGGTGCAAGGACGGGCAGGAGGGGTGGGCAGGGCCTGATGGCGGAGGGTTGAGACTGTCCTGTAGGGGCCCAGACACCTGAGGATGTGGGAGGTCACAGAAAGGTCTTACACAGAAGAGGACCAGGGCTTCACAGGGCAACCCACCCCCCATCAAGGCCCCGCCATGGGAACGGCCTCTCGGGGACCTGCCTCCCATGGCCAGTTTGCGCCATACAAGGTCGCCTGCTCTGGGTCCGCCCACTAGGGTCACCCAGGATGTGCAGCCTGAGGACACGCGTTCCATGCCCACCCTGGGGTGGGGGGGCAGAGGGACAGGGTGCAAACGCACCTTTGATCCGCCTCCGAACCATCCTCCAGGCCAGCAGCGAGGCCCCCACCAGGAGAAACACCAGGAGCACCAGCAAGGAGAGCAGCACGAGGAGCCTGCAGGGGCACAAGGGAGGTGCGGGGTGGGGCGGGCCTGCCTTCCCCCCTTGGTTTCCACGGATGCACGAGGTCACGCAGAAACCAGACAGTGGAACCCTTTCTGCACCTCCCCTCACCCGCCCAGGTCCCTGAACCGCACACATGGCGCACCCTGCAGAATCCTCTGGAGGCTCTCTACTCAGATGCAAGAAAATGGGCATGAATGTTACTTTCCTCCTTTTGTTCACACCAAGGACAGTATAAACTCTAGTTTTTTACTTAACAGTGCATCATGCGCCCTGACTGCTGTGGCTCAGTGGGTTGGGCGTCATTTTACCAAGTGAAGGGTCACTGGGCTCACCCCTGGGCAGGGCACACGCCTGGGCTGCAGGTTCGGTTCCTGGTCCAGGCACGTAAGAGAGGCAATGGATCGATGTTTCTCTCTCATATTTCTCTTTCCCTCCCTCTCTTTCTCCCTCCCTTCCCCTCTCTCTACAAATAAAGAAATAAAATCTCAAAAAAACCCCACCAAACCCCAAAACCAATGCACCTCGGACTTGGAAGAGGATGGGAAAAAACAAACAGAAGATGCTACATCTTGGAGTTCTTTCCAAGTCAGTTTAAAGTACCCCCCGCCTGGCCTCCCCTCCCCACCCACTCTGTCCGACAGCCACACAGAATTCTGCTGCCTGGATGGACGGGCCATCATTTATTTAACTTGTCCCTCCTACTGGGCACTTCTCTTTTGCAATGACAAATACTGCGGTGAAAAATCACCTGTAGCTCCCCCCACAACACACGTGGACAGTCGCAGCAGACCTGCTGACATGAATTAGGGTTCAGGCCCCTCACTGGTTTGCTCCCCTTCTTTCACCCCTAGTTGGCCTTCATAATGTCCTAGCCTTTCTTAAAGTGGCACCGCCCTCTCCCCAAATCATCAAGCCCCTCAGCAGCTGCCTCTGCCCCCACCTGTGTACCTGCAGAGCCATTTCGGGAAGCGGCGTGTTTGGGGCCTGAGTTTCATTCTGCCTGATGTGAAGACTGTCTAGGGGGGGGGGGGAAGGTTGGGGAGGAATCTGTCGTGAAGGGTGTGACTGGCCCTGCCCCTGGCTCTGGGGAGGCAGGCCCCACACCCTCAGGTGTCTCTTGCGATTCACAAACCCCTTGCATCTGCCCCCGAGAGAGACGAGATGACTCAGGATGGGGCTGGTCACCAGAAGGAACAGCCATGGGTTTAGAGGTTTGGGGCTCTGAGCCAGCCTGACCTGCAGCGGGTGAAGGGGGCTGGGAACTGAGTTCACGTGTGCGGTCCGTGGTTCGGCCCATCAATCTACATAATAAATCCCAAATAAAACTGTGGAGCCCTGGCTGGTGTAGCCCAGTGGATTGCGCGCAGGCTGAGAACCAGGGGGTCGTGGTTCGATTCCTGGTCAGGGCACATGCCTGGCTTGTGGGGGCCAGGTCCCCAGTGGGGGCCCTGGGAGAGGCAACCACACAGTGATATTTCTCTCCCTCTCTTTTTCCTTCCCTTCCCCTCTCTCTAAACAACAACAACAACAAACTGTGTACACCAGAGCTTGAAGGAGCTTCCCGGTTGTCAGACACCTCGATGTTCCAGGAGGGGGAGGCCCCCAACTCTACTGGGGGGGTGTGGAAGCTCTGCAGCCAGAACCTTCCATATCTCTTTATTTGGCTGGTCCCAGCCTTTATTTCTAAAACTGCTATGGCTCTTTCTTGCATTTTTGCCAGTGATCTAACCAGTTATCAAAGCCCAGGGGGTTGGTGGCCCCCTAATTTGTAGCCAGTCGGTCAGAAGTGCAATGGCCTGGGGATCCCCGAAGTGCTCTGACGTCGGAAGTGGGCAGTCGCATGGGACCGGGCCCTTAATCTGCCGGCCTGTGCTCACTCCAGGGGCCAGTGCCGGGCCTGAGTCACCAGCCACCAGGTGGTGACCCAGGGGTGGCTTAGGACAGGGTGCATTTTCCTGGTCAGATCCTCCTGGGGTTTGCAACCCCAGAGAAGGTCAGGAAGTGCTTGTTCAGAAGGAAGAGCCTAGGACTTTGGGATCACATGACCCTGCGTTAGAAGCCCAACCGGCCTCTGGTAGCTGCGTGACCCAGCAAATCGCTTCGCCTCCCCGAACCTCAGTTTACTCATCTGTAAAGTGAGAGCAGTAAGGTGGAGGGTGACAGTGAGGGGCATATGGGGTCACTCATGGAGGTAGTTGGCCCCTGTCCGGCAGCATGACACCCTGAGAAGCCTCTCTCAGACCCCAGGGCAGGCCCAGCGTGGCCTCACCAGCCCGAGCTAAGAGACAGCGCGGCTTCCGGCCCAGGCCTGGCCAAGGACAGCCGGCGATCCAGCCGGCAGGGAAGGAGGTGGCAGCCATGTGCTCCTCCTGGGGAGCAGGCCCACCTCCAGGATGCGGGGACCTTACCCGTGGCTCGGTGGAGGGTCTTCCTGGCCATTCAGTCTGTGGGTGACCTTCACTGTGGTTGGAGCTGTGGACACAGTCGTGATTTGGGCTGTGGTTGTTGTCGTGGTTGTGGGGGTGGTCCAGGTCCTGGCTGCAGTAGGTGGCTGCGGTGCTGGTGTTGATGCTGGTGCAGAAACACAAATCAGACCCACGGGTCTCTCTTCTGGCTCTCCCGCCCCGGACAACACCTTTGTGGTCTGACTTCACACAAAATGCTCACTCAGGATGGCCAGAGTCTCCCTAGGACCGCCCTGGGCCAAGTTCGAGTTTTCCAATAGGATGCAGCTACCACCCCTGAGAGTCCCGATTCCATCCTGCCCAGGAGGGTCACGGCCTCCAGAGAGGCCCTACGTCACCTCTGCACCTGTCTTGTCCCCCCCGCCAGCCACTGCCACGTGCTCCCTGACATAGGTGCCTGCTCAGGGGCAGATCTGTCACTTGTTGGAGCTCCCCCTGCTCTCCGCCTCCTCAGCCCCCCCATGCAGCCCTGGGTTTCTGCTGGGCTGACCCACGGAGTCTCCTCTCTCTCTCTCTCTCTCTCTTTCTCTTTTGCATGCTCAGCTCTCTCAGCCTCCTCTTCACCAGGCAAGCACCTTCTCATCCTTCAAGACTGAGTGCAGGTGCCAGCTCCTCCAGGAAGCCTTCCGATGTTCCTTTCTCACTGACTCTTCCTCTCCTTCTCCACACACACACACACACACACACACACACACACACTCTCTCTCTCTCTCACACTCACACTCACAGTTTGCTCTGGTCTGATCCCTGCCTCGGCTGTTCCCGCCTGAGATTCTTCAGGCAGCCTGGCGCTGGGACAAGGGCAGGGGGCGTGGGGCTCACCTGCGGACACAATCACCTCAACCTCGAAGTTGGGGTCCAGAATTCTTTGGCTCAGTGATGCATCGATCCCACACCAGTATTTGCCTTCATCACGCTTTGTGAGTCCCTCCAAGGTCACAGTGAAGGTGAGGTTTGCTGGATGGTCCCTGATGGACACGTGGCCGTTCCTCACTTCTCTCTCTGACCTCGTGGTCTCCACGATCTTCTTCTTCAGCAGACGCAGACGTGGGCTTTCACACCAGTATTTGTTATTTTCTCTGAACTCCTCCTCGTACCGACACTGCACGCTCAGGGATCCCCCCACGGTGCCCCTCACGGTGCGGGGGCCGCTCAGGGACCAGCAGCCTGGAAGACACAGCCCAGTCCCCACTCCTCACCAGATGGACCTGGGCCGGGGTACCCAGGGACCACCACGTCACATCAGCCAGATCACATCGTGAGTGTCCTCCCCTTCCTCTCTGTCCCCCCAGTATGTTGATCTAGACCCCAACCTCCGTTCTTGCTGCCCTGCCCACTCCTCACTGCCCAGGGGCCTCCCACTTCCAAACGTGTCAGGACATAAGGACTGGCCCCCGCACCCTGCTCTCGCCACAGTAACATTTCAGTGTGAGCCCCTCCCCCACCCCCTTGCAGCTCTGTGTCACGGTGCCACGACCACAGAGTCCTGCCAGTCCCTCTCCAGGGGGTCCACAGGGCCTCCCCCACTGGCCTGGGTGAGCAGGCGCCCTGTAGAGAAGCCAGCTGTGCCACAGGTGTGACATTTACCACGATACTAATGACTGCAAAGGTGGGTGAAGGGGGCATCAGAGTGTACGTCTCAGCTCTGTCACAAATCAGCTGTGTGTCCTGGGGCAAGTTACTTAACCTCTCTGAGCGTCCGGTGCCTTATCGGCAAAGTGGTGATAATTGGTGGGCCTCACATTGTATTTGGGACTCTGAGTGAGATAACAGGTGTAAAATGCCTGGTAAATAATATTGGATTGAGATGCACGAAATTGCTGAATACCTACCTATGTTTGCCCAAGGAACCAGGAATTTCACACGATCCAGTCTAATGAACCCGTTATCCCTCTGTCTAGCCAAACGAAGAAGTGAGCAGAGAAAACAACCCAGATACAGAGAGAATGAAGAGAACCAGGATGGTACTTGGCACAGATTCTGGGCGGGTAAGTGTGGGGCTCTGGGTGAATGTGCGGTTTCCTAGGAACACACAGACCACTAAGATCGACAGAGACCCAGTGCTCAGTAAAAACGCGTCCGCTTCCTTCATCATCCCCGGCGAGGTTCCTGGTCCCCGTGTTGTGACTCTGCTCCCCACTCTCCTCGGTTGTCCTCTCCTTGTCACCTTTCTCTGCCTGGCCCTGGCTCCCCTGCCGGACGTGGGTCACCCCATCACCCACCCACAATGCCCAATCCTGTCCGTCTGTCCAGCTCTAGTGTCTGGCTTTCTTCTGTGCTTGTTCTTTTCTTTTTAAATCCTCACCCCAGGCTATGTGTTTAGTGCTGGGAGAGGGAGAGAGAGAAATATCGATGTGAGAGAGAAATATCGGTTGGTTCCCTCCCACACGCAGCCTGACTAGGAGTGGAATGCACAGCCTAGGTGTGTGCTCTGGCCGGGAATCAAACCCGCAGTGGTTTCGGTGCAGGGAACAACGGTCCGACCAGCCGAGCCACCCGGCCAAGGCTCCTTTCTGCTTGTTCTTCTGTGTCCTCCCTCTGTCCCTCCCCCCTTTTCTCTGTCCGCAGCCCATCACCCCCACCATTGGCTTTTCTCCACTTTACATCTGAAATCTTGGGGGGAATAATGTCATCACCTTCTCCCCTAAGCCTCTGCCCCTATGAAGGTGTCATGATAACTTGAGAGACAGGGAGGCGTCAGGAAACCTGCGGCCCGCCCCCACCCACACACCTGCAGCTGTCACGCCCACAACCCTCCTGCCTGGGTCTCCTCGTTTGACTCCATCCAACAGTTACCACCTTCCCCTCCCTGCTCACCAGCCACAAGGAGCCTGGGTACCACCCTGGGGCCAGGGTCCCCGCCTTTCCCAAAACTCTTCCAAGGAAAGGTCCCTCTGTTGTCCCGTTTTTTACTTTAGGGTCACAAAGTCCCTCTTCACCAAATCCCAAAGAAAGGAACAGATCCTCCCACTCAGACAGTCAGAAAGGGGCACACGGGAGCCCCCGACCCGGGAGGAGGGGAAAAGCAGAGACAAAGCAGAAATCAGTGAGTCACGAGACAGAAAAACAGCGCAATCAGTGTGCACGTTGGAAAACGGATCCTTCTGTCGGGAGAGACAGGTAATAAAATAGACATTCTAGCGGGTGGTCTGATCAAGGAGAAAAGGAGAAGACTCACACACACTGACACACACACACTCTCTCAAACACACACACAGACACATACACACTCACACACACAGCCAGAAAGAAATTAACCAGGGTGATCTGCAAATCTCTACAAATAAGTCTGTAAACTTGGATGAAACTGGTGATTTTCTAGGACAATACGAATGACCAGCATTGGCCCCAAACGCGTTTTTAATGCAGACCAGTAGTGAAAACTATGATCAACTAGGGGCCCTTCCCGGCGATGACTGTGTGAGTTAACGTGCGGGTCACTTCACTGTGTGTCCGCACCTCAGGGCACTGCGCGCAGCGTAAATATTCCATTTTTTTTTTTTGTTAAATATGCCTCAGTAAAGCGGGGTTTGGGGGAGAAAAATGTTTTCCCTTAAAAAAAAAAAAGAAAGAGCAAAACCCAGACAATTTCCCAAGTTAGTTCTCTCAACCTTTCAAGTGACAGACTTCCAACGGCAGTTCGGCATTTGCAGAGACTAGAGCAACAAAATAAACCTCCCCAATTCTTTTCGTGAAGTCGGCATGATACTCTGACACTGAAATCCGGCCAACCCTCTTATATCACGCACCACCTTAATGGTTTAAAGGAGAAAAGTATCATCAACTCCACGGATAATGAAAAGGCACCTGATGCCAATCAGCAAATGTTGTTGCTGATTTTAAAATGTTTCATAAAGAGACACAGCAGGTCTGCTTCCTTCAGACCTCATGGGAAGCACTGGGCCCCTGCCCTGGTCAGTGACAAGGCAGGGGTGGCCGTGCTACCTTGGTCCTGGGCATCATTGGGGCCACCCCCGGCTCGTGGCCAGTGAGAGAAAGTGAGGAGGAGTCAGGTGTCAGGAGGGAATCTCGAGCTCCCTGGCCGGCAGGGCAGGTCCCATGAGAACCCCGGACACCTGGCAGGGTCGGTGCACAAACGGTGGGGAGAGGACGGCTCTGTCCAAATGAATTCACAGAGTTGTAACTTCCCGACAGACAGCCAAGTTAGCAAATGAAACAGAAGAAAACGCGCCATTCATTTCTGAGCAAAACGACCAGAAAGATTGCAGATCTTCCAGGGAGAAGCCCGTCCAACTGCAGGGCCTGTCTGAGGAGGCGCAGAAGATGAGTGGGGGAGGGGGGAGGTTCTAGTCTTTCTCCCTGGAGAAAGCTTCTTCCCCCACTTCCTCCTCCCAGCCTCCCCTCTGTCCCCATCTCCCTGCTGGCCCCCAGGCTCTCTCCTCTCAAGGGGCCCTGCCTACAGCTGTCCTTGTTCCCAAGACCACAAGAGCACCGTGCTCCCACCCAGCCCCCACCCTTCCTTCACACTTGGGGACCAGGAGGGCGCCTCCCAAACAAATAGCCCCCTAGGTGTGCTCAGGGCAGCCTCTCAACCTCCCAAAAAGCCCCTCCTCCTGCGCCCATCCCTCTGCACCATGTCCCACCCCCACCGTGGCTCATCTAAGATTGGGTGGATGCCAAGAAGTCAGGCCCTCGCCCCTTCTGCTCCCCTGGGTACGGCCCTTTCATCCGTCCCTTGTGCCTGGGGGACCGAGGGGGCCCCATCCTGAGCTCATACAGAGCCCAGACTGAGACTGCTTCACGGAACCCCTCCCGCAGGCGCCCCCCCCTCAACCGACCCCTCACCTGGGACCCAGAGAAGCAGCAGAGATGCCTGAAGCCACAGAGCCGGGTCCTGCCGGGCCATCTCCCCAGGAAGTCACCTGATGCCTGCAGGACCTGGGGCTGCGGTCCCCCTCCAGGGGAGGGCCCAGTCTCCCGGGCTTCCACTTCTGCTTTCCTTTGTGCCGGCTGCTTCCTTGTTCAGCTTCGATTTAGTTTTGTTCCTAGAGCTGGTCAGAAAATGGAGAAAGCCTGGGGGGCCGGCTGAAACACCCCGGAACCCGCAGCTCCCCTCTCGCACATCCTGCAGAGCCACAGGGCCACATCTCCTTCCAGTCGGGCCCTCGTGGTGGGTGGTCAGGGTGGGACCTTGACCCGAGGTGGGGGAGCCCTGGGCAACGCTCAGGAAGGCCACCCCGGGGAGCTCCCTTTCCACAAGAACCCAGTTCAAGGCCTGGACCCCCTGATGGGCACAAGGACCTCAGAGTCCCTAGACGCTCTCTAGTCTTGGAACCAGGCCCTCAACTTCACCCGAAGCCCTTCGGGCTGTGACCTTTCTCCCTGTGCAACCCCCCACTGGACCCAGCTCAGGGCAGGACACATGTCGGGGACAAGGGTACCTTTCCCGGGGGTGCTCAAGGGAACTAAAGAAACTTGCTGGTTCTCCTTCTGGAAGGTTCCACGGACACTTTGGTAGGAATGAGGAGGATGTTTGTAGCAATGCAGTCATAGACTAATTAACGCTCGTAAAGACCTTGACCTTGAACTGGACAGGGAAGGGCAGAAGAGGTATCACACTTGTCAGTCTACATGACAGATACTTGCAGAGTTTCCCGGACAATGTTTATTTTGCAGTCCAACCACTGAAAGGCGTGGTGAGGAGCATCAGGGTGAAGAGGGGGGTGCCCTGGACTGAGAAGTGGGAGACGGGGTGGGTTCTCCTGCAGCTCCTCCGCGTACCTCCGGTGCGACCTTGAACAACACCCGTGGCTCCCGTCGAATGCCGAGAATAATAATAGCTCATCCGTGGGAATAACTAGTGTAATAATTACGAAATACTCCACTGGGAGGCAATTACATCCGTGGGCGCCCCCTCTCCCCGGAATGCATCTCTGATGAAAAGCAACGGGGAACTAGGATTCGATCCCGAGAAGTAGGCTTCACACACACAGTGGGATCTGCCACTCCCTGGGGGCCCAGACACACACTGGAACCACAGCGGAGGGAGAAGAGCCAGGGCATCGAACCCGCCACCCACACCCGCGGAGCCCACGGCAGCCTGTCTGTGTGGTGTCAGAAAATTAAGGGAGGGGAAGGGGTGGTGCCGGGGGAGGGTAGAAGATGGTAAATCCGCGGGGGGCGGGGGTAAATGTTGGTGGAAGGAGACTTGACTTGGGGTGGTGAACACACAATACAGTGTACAGATGACGTATCACAGACCTGTACACCTGAAATGTTTATCATTTTGTTAAGCAATGTCACCCCAATAAATTCAACGTAAAAAATTAAGGAAATGGCAGTTTTCCCGCTGCTCCCTACTACCCATTGTCAGACATGCAAAGGCTCCCCTCCCCCGCCCCTGGGTGTAGCCCCGAGTTCCCTGGTCAGGTAGGGCCCTGCGCCCACAAGACCTCTCCCCAGTGTGGACCTGGGCCCAGTGGGCGGGGCCTTGCCGGTGCCGACCGGGGCTCTCTGGGCAGGCCTGCAGCAACTTCGAGCCCTGCAAAGCGTAGGGGCCCCAGAAAGGACTTGGGGAGGATGGAGTGGTGGGACTCTCAGCAGCACTTCCCTCTGCGGGGCAGCACAGTCAGAGCTGCCCTCTCGCCAGGCCGATCGGTGGCTCCCCACTCGCTCTGCCTCTTCCTCCCCCTGAGCGAGGGGCCCAGGGGCAGCCTAAAGGCCGGGAGGCTGCCCCACGCCAGCAGTGCGGTGGGAGTGGCCCCAAGACGAGGCTGCGTGGGAAGAGCGGCCAGGTGGGTGATCCTGCCAGCCCGGTGCCTGGGTCATGGTGGAATGGACATCCCCAGAGATGGATAACTGCTGTCGATCACAAGGTACACGGGTGACTGGACGAGAAGCAGTGGGGGAGGGGCAGCAGGGACCCGGACAGAGCCTCTGGTTTCCCTTCCCCTGCAGTCCCCGTGTGAGACCAGCATCTGTGGCCTGGCCCCGCCCCCAACTGGCCTGCCTGCCTGTGGGCCTCACAACCCTGGGGACTGCCCGACCCCACCCTCCTGCCCACTTCTGGGAAAGCTACCCCATGTGGCTGGACCTTCAAAACAACTTGAAAAACCCCTTTTCCAGTGCACCCCACAGGCCACCACCTGCTGGTCAGGTCAGCCTGTAGCACACTGCCCTGCTGGGCCCCGCGCGCAAGGTTGGGCAAACAGAGAGGAAGAGGAAGCTGCGGCTGAGGGGTGGCAGTCCCAGCCAGAGGCCTGGGAGCTCCACCATCCCTGGGGCCACTACCCCCTGCAGGCCCTGTCCCAGCCCTGGGCGGGGGCCCTAGGACTGAGACCTGCTCTGATGGGGGTGGCTCAGGAGAGGCACACCCTGCTGTCATGGGCCTGGGTCCTCAGGGTCACAGTCACAGGGATCGGGGCACCCACAGCTGGAGGGTGACTCCTCAGAAGACACCCCAGCCTCCCCCAGGCCCCCCCTCTGAGCCCACCCTGCCCCCTGCCCCCTGCCCCCTGTCCCTTACAGCGTCTATTTCTGTATTTGATCACCTACACGGACAGGGCTGTCACCACCTGTCCCCTTTTCACAGTGAGAGGGTAGGACTTCACAAAAGCGGGGACCCCACGGAGCCCCCACAGCCCCGGGCTCAGTGCCCACTGTGCTTCCCACGGAAAGGGAGCCGGAACCAGGACCTCTCCCCCCTCGCCAAACTCCGCCCCCGGGTGAAAACAGCGACAGAACTGAAGTGGCGAGAGCAGCAAGAGCACGTGCAAGTCCACCAAGCGGAGCACCAGGGTCCCCACAGTTCACCCCAGTTCCGCCTCTGTGACAACCAGGCTCCAGCAGAGGCCAGGGGTCCCCACACCTGGGCGGAAAGCTGCAGGGAGCCACCCACCTCTCCCAGGTCCCCAGGTGTCTGCCAGGTGACATCACAGGTAACACCCAGGGAACCCTCCAGGGAGCAGGACCAGGGCGGGTGGTGGGTGAGGGGAGCTTTCGGGGAGGGCCCCTGACCGTGACCGTGGGGCAGAGCGGGGCTGTCCGGCCCCGTGTCCTGGCCCTGAGTGGCATTCTAGTCCGTTCCCCCTGCCCTGATGTTGGGACACTGCTCCACGCCCACGCCCACTTCACAGGAGGCTCAGCCTGAGGACGGAGGCGGGGATTCATCTACGTCACTTAAGCTGTGATTACTGACCTGCCACCACGGACACACGTCCACCTCGACTCCTCACGACTCAGAGAGATGAGACAACCTACCCGAAACTCGTGATTAGTACATGCATCCTGTTAACCCCTGAACTGTGTACCGTGACTCTGCTGGGTGGAGTCCAGTGACGTGTACCACCTGTGTACCGTGACTCCCCTGGATCCGTGACTCCCCTGGGGTGGCTGCACAGGGAGGGTGGGAGGCCCTGAGAGGCGGTAGAGGGTGTCCCATGGTCAGCATGTGGAGGGAGAGGGGATTGGGCAACTGGGGACATGAGAACCCAAACTGACGGGCTTCCCCTGCTTCTCCTCTGCATTCTCCTCCTTCCTTGCCCAGGGGACAGCCCAGGGCGAGGCCAGAGGAACACAAAACACACCCTGTCAGCTCTTGCTGCTTTGCTAACCAAGGGTAGGGTGAACCCGCAGGCAGCCGGTTCAAAAACCTCTTATATTTGGCTTCGGGAGTCCCATTCGCCCTTGACCTTGACTATGTGAGTTACCGGCATTCTGGGGATGACTCCAACTCCCAAGGCCTCAGCAAGGTCGGAAGCGCCCCCCAACCCCTCCCATGCAACCACCTTGACCTCACTGCTCATCTGTCCCAGCACCTCGGTGGTCTTTGCACAGACACTTCCAGAAGCTGGTGGAATGTGTGCCTTTCCAAGGGCTACTTCAGGCAAGCCCAGGGTTAACAGGGCTTTGTAGGGTGTGAGCGTTAACTCTGGGTGGACTGAGCCTCTGTGCCCCTTCCAGGCAGCTGTTGAGTATTAGCCACGCTGCCAGCGAGTGAAGGGCCCAGAGAGGGCGCTCGGCTTCCTGAGCCTGGTCCTCTCCACTTCCCTCGGGTTTCCGGCTCCTCTCTGCCCAGGTGGGTGGTGCGGCGTGCTGAGAGGTCCCGCGGTCCCTGGTCCAGCCCACTTCCATTCTCGGAGTCTCCTGGTACATTACGCAATGGAGAGGTTCCAAAAGAGGACTCGACGAGCCCAGGTTTTTGACAGGCAACACACGGGGGGAGGGGGGGGCAGGAAAATAATAAAACCGGGCTCTCACAATCACAAGATCTGTGACAAGACAAACTGTGGTGTGGGCCGGCCGTGGGATCCAGGGACACAGTTGTAGGAGGGTTACCTTCTCTCCTTCCCACGCACTCTGGGACTGCAGGGAGACATTCACCCGTGAGAACCTTAACTCCACGTTTGAGGGAGTGCTCTGAAACCGGGCTTGGGTCATGGTTGTGCGGTGCTGTGAATTTACTAAAAGTTATTAAATTGTATGTTTGAGATGAGTTGTTTCCTGGTGCGTAAATTATACTTAAACCTTCGGAAGGCAACTGTGATGCTGATTGTGAGTATGAGTCAGAAGACCCCCTCTCAGAGAGATGCAAATTCAAACCACAATGAGATACCACTTTACACCGGTCAGGATGGCCATCATAAACAAAGCAACAAACAACAAATGTTGGAGAGGTTGTGGGGAAAAGGGGACCTTAGTTCACTGTTGGTGGGATGGCAGACTGGTACAACCATTATGGAAAACAGTATGGAATTTTCTCAGAAAAATAAAAATCGACCTGCCTTTTGACCCAGCAATTCCACTGCTAGATTATATCCTAAGAATCATAAAACATCAATTTCAAAGAACCTATGCACCACAATGTTCATAGCAGCACAATTTACAATAGCCAAGAGTTGGAAGCAACTTAGGTGCCCGTCAGTAAATGAATGGATCAAAAAATTGTGGTACATATACACAATGGAATTCTATGCAGCAGAGAGAAAGAAGGAGCTCCTACCCTTTGCAACAGCATGGATGGAACTGGAAAGCATTATGCTGAGTGAAATAGGCCAGGCGGTGAAAGACAAATATCATATGATCTCACCTTTAACAGGAAGCTAAACAACAAAACAAACAAGCAAGCAGAATAAAAACAAAGATACTGAAATAGAGAACAAGTGGGCAGCGAGCGACCAGAGGGGAGAGGGAAGGGAATTTAAGGGGGAAAATGGGGAGGGATTTTGAGGAACAAGTATGAAAGACACAGCGATGAGGACTGGGGGGCGGGGGGGGGGAATGGGAGGGAGGTGGGGACACGGGGCAGGGGGGGCTGGGATGGGAGAAATAGACAAAAAACTGTACTTGAAAAATAACTAAATAAAATTTAAAAAAAAAGAAGACCCCCTTTCCGCCCCACCCCAGCCCTCCGCCATCTTGGCCCCGCGGGGCTTTCCCACCTGCTTTATCCCCCTCCCCCTGCCCCCCAGACCCTTCCCGGCCTGACGAATGTGCCTACAGAGCTGACTCCCTTTCCTGCAAAGTGAGAGGAAATAGCGGGACTGTCGACAAACCAAGGGCCCAAGTGTGTGGTCACAACATCCAGCTGAGGCCTGGGCATCTCCACCTCTCCTGGGGGCGGGAATCCTCAAGTGGTGTTGCTGCTGTTTGCAGGTGGAGTGGAAGGCAGGGTCCGCTTACCGCCCTGGCGGGGCCTGGCCTCCATTCCCAGCTCATTCCGATCCAGTTCTGTCGCGCTCTGAGTTCCAGCACTTTCCATGCTCTGCCTCCTGCCACCTGGCTCCATCCCAGCCCATCCCTGCTGGTCTGTCCCATCTCTGGTTGGTCCCAAGGGGACACATAAGGAGCCCAGAGACTCAGAGTGGTGGGGAGGGAGCGAGCAGGGACTAGACAGTGGAGCTGAGGTGGACCAGATGGTCAGACCCAGCCCTGTGGCTGGGAGGCTGTAGGGCACTGCTGGGAGGTCCAGTGGTTCCTGGTCCTAGTTCCCGAGGTGGCCAGAACCAGGAAATGCAAATCGGGCCGTGGGACCCAGCAGCCAGGAAGCAGCGGAGTCTGCACCTTATGGAGAAGCTGCTGTGCTTAGAACCCACGAGCAGGCCCTCTGCCAGCCGTTGGTAGTTACCAGAACCACCAGCTTTCTCTCTCGGGCAGGTAAATGCCTCCATCTGCAAGTCAGGAAATGGAGGCGCTTCTGGACAGGTATCGGGGGTGTGGCACCAATCCCTCCAGATGCCCCAGGCAGTGGACTGGGAACAAGGAGGAAGTTCCAGCCCCTGGGAAACCGGGCCTGCAGGCTTCAGAGAGGGGGGCTGGCCCTCCATGCAGGTAGAGGAACGAAAGAAGGGGTAGAAGTGATGGAGGAAACAGGACAGTGCCCAGCTCAGAGCAGGCCACCCAGGAGGAATGCGGGACACTGAACTCAGGCTTTGGGGTGTCTTAGAACCCTGGTTTACAGCCAGTGAGACCCAGTGGGCCCTCAGATACTCAAACAGACCACCCACTCTGAGATCAGCCTGGGACCACCCAGCTGCCCCACCAGCTGGACTGTCCTGGAAGAGGGGTGGGGTGGAGGCTGCAGGTGGGGGTGAGAGGGCAGCAGCCTGGCCTTGGGAACTGAGAAGGCAGAGAAGGGAAACAGGTCCCACCCCTCCCTGCCTGCTCCTCCTGGTCAAGTTCTCCACCAGAAGGCTCTGGGTTGGAGGATGCAACACCCAAGGCTCCTGCTGACCTGTGTTTTGGCCACAGGAGAAGGGACCCAAGAAGGAGACCTTAAGCCCTGCAGAGACTTCCAGCTCTAGAGAATAGGGGACTCAACTCTGTGGCAGGCACTTTCAGGGGTCGGCAGCCTGTGAGGTCGGCGGGGGGAGGGCTGGTGGGCAAAGCAGTGAGAGGTGCAGCCCTCTAGCTCTCCCAACTGCTGACCACCTGTGTTTACAAAGCCACCAGGGGCCCCAATGCAGCATGTATAGGGGTCTCCTGGGGAGCTTCTTTAAAAAGGCCCCTGCCTGAGCCGCCTTCCCTTTTCCTACCTACCTGCGCCCTGAGAGTCTGACTCAGCCCGTCTGGGTGGAGCCCACACTCTCAGGGACAGGGAGGGTGGAGAATGGTTGGGGCAGAACTGGGGTTTCAGAGACCCAGCACCCGCCCAGGAGCAGGTGGAGGAAACACGGAAGTCCGAGGGGGGATCTATTTTAGTCCTAACAACGGACCACCGAAACTCTCCCCGCAGAAGGGGGGGCTCCTCCAGGGGAACTGGGTGGGGCTACAAAGCGGGGCGCTGCGAGACCGGTGTCCCTGCCCCGACCCTTCCGTGGGGTCGGGTCCATAAAGTCAAGTCAGCTCCGGGGATGGATGCCTGGGTGGGAGAGTGAGTGCTGGGCCTCGCTGCCCAGCTTTCAGTCCCAGCCCTCCCTGGTCTGCAAGTGGACTCAAACTGCTTTCGACTCCTCCTCCTGTTTTTCTCCCGAAGAAGCTCGGGCGCTGCTTTCCCACCTGCCCCTCATTATCCTATGATAAGCACACCTTTCAGAGGCCCAGCCTGTCCCTCCCCACGAGACTTTGCCCAGGGACCCCTGTGCAGACCCCAGCCCACGCTGGTCAGGCTGCCCGGAGCCAGGGGGCCAAGCCACCACCTCCCTCCAAGTGGACTGTTCCAGCCAAGATCCAAGACACTGCCATGCTCTCTTCCTCCAGCAGGGGGCACTCCAGGCCCAGGCAGCATTTATTTGTTTGACAAACATTTCCTGGGTACCAATGTTGTGCCAAGCACTGGGCCCCGAGATGGGGACATGAAGGTTAAAAATAAAACAGTTCTTCTGTCCAGGAGTTTGTGGTTTTAGTGGGAAACATGTAAAAACAAAGACAGGAAAACAGAGGGTCACCTTGGGAGGCAGACGTGGTGCCGGGGGCCCAGGCACCATCTGGAGGCCTGGGTGAGAGAGGGCCCCTCCCTCCGTCATACCCAGGGAATGGCACAGACAAGGGACCCTGGGGGCCCAGACTCCCGCTCCGGCCCTCCACCGTCTCAGCCCCACTCATCTCTGTTCTCCTTGAGGAATTCTGGGAGCCTTGAAAAGTCCAGAAGGATGCCTGGCCTGGCTCCGAAAGGAGCCCCAGTCACGGGAGGCACTGGGGGAGCTGCCAGAGGTTGCCTCCTCCCTCTTCTCCCCCACACGCCCTGCCCCCACCACAGCCCCAGAGAAGGTGAGCAGGCGTCTTTCACAAGTTGCCACAGCCACCACGCTCAGCCCCTCCAGCCCTCCCTACAGCCCCTTGGGACCTCGAGGTCAGGGGCGGGATGTAATGATACACCTCATCTAGGCACCCCCTACAGTGGCCCGAGCTTGACTGGCTGTGCAGAACACGCGGAGCACTGGTTAACAATACAGACTCCTGGGCCCAACTCAGACACCCTGCATCCGGATTCTCTAGGGCTGGGGACCGGGAATCCGTCATTTTAACAAGATCCCCAGGTGATGTCAACCATCAGACAAGTTTAGGAAGCTCTGCTGTGAGGGCTTGTGGGAGGCCTGGGACCTTCCTCGTGCTCACAGGGGTTGGAGGGGACAGGATGGGACAGGACAGGACCTGCACATGGTGGCCAGCTCAGCAGGTACTGGCTGAAGGAATGAACCGGTGGGCCTGGGCTCAGAGAGCTCTGTGGTCCGGCACAGGCCCTAGGAGACCAGCAGGGCTGCAGCCTCCCCAGACAGCCCCCCTGCATTGCCCTCGGGACCCCAGGAGTTGGAGCATTAGGGTGTGTGTCCTCTGGAAGGAGGGCCGGGGCCCAGTGAGAGTTTAACGCTGCCCTCACTGGGCCTCTGCAGCCCCGGGCGTCAGAAATATTTGTTAAACATAGTGCGAGCATCAGAGAGACCACTGATGGCGTGGCCTCCCAGATTCTTCCAGAGCCGGGTCAAGAGCAGACTAACTGCACTCACTGGCGAAGTCCTAGCTCCTCACAATGGCACACGATTGAAGGACGGGGTCTTTACAGGGCAATCAACTTAAAATGAGCCTCCGGAACCATGAGATGACACGTTTCTGTCGTGTGAGCCACTGAGTCCGCGGCCCTTTGCCAGGCTGCCCAGCAAACTAATACACCAGGGCCCTCCCTGCTCCCGGTCCCCGTGGAGAACGGGCCTGGTAATGGCCCAGAAACTCCCCTCCAGACCTTGGTGGTTAGGACCAGGGGAGGGATGCTTTCACCCCAGCCCCACGGTCCCCTTTGGCTCCACTCTCCAGTCCGACAGGACCTCTTCCCAGGAAGCCCTCCCTCCCCACCACCCACCGCCAGGTCCGCAGACACCTGCACACCTAGGGGCGGCTCTGCCCTGTGCCCAGCTCTGCCCTGATACGGTCAAGTCGCTGGAGAATTCATGCAGAGGGGAGGGCAGGTGGCTGCCCCCAGGGACATGTGACACACCACTGAACTGCGTGCCAGACGGTCCTGGGTGCAGGGACAGAGTCCCGTGTGGGGACTGATGTTAATTAGAATGACGGCAGGGAGCAGCCTTTAATAAATATTGATGAAGAGTGGATCGAGGAATGAACGAACGAGCCAAATGTTTTTCCCGGGTCTGTTTTGCCCGCCCTGCGGCATGCGGTGTGTTTATAATGAGCTGCACACGGAGGACTGGCAAATGGCGGCCGCACACCCATCTGCTCTAAATGTGTTGCCCTCGGCCAGTCTCAGGGAAGGGCAATTACCTAGCGGGGTGGGGGTGGGGTGGGCATAGGGGCCCCGTGCACCTACGTGACCCCACCCCCATCCTCAAGCCCCTCAAAACCCCCCAAGGGGAGACACTGGGCAACGCTGGGCAGGGTACAAGCCGCCTGTCTTTCTGGGAGGGAGGACGAGGGGCAGAGTGTGGCCCGGGCCTGCTGTGAGCCTGGCCAAGTAACGGGTGGCAGTGACAACACAGGCTGATTGGAGAGGGGAGAGGCTGTTTTTCACGGAAAAGGGAAGAACGAGAGAAAGGAAAAGAGAGGAGGAGAAAACGGTAGAAAGTCTTCCTGTCCTGCATGTCCCAGGTCCTAGTGACCAAAGTCTCGGGCGAGGGCAATGTGACCCCGTTGCAGGGGCAGCCGGCAGGAGGGCAGGCGGGCGGGGGGCCTCCCACTCGGCCTCCCCTTCTGGTCTGCAGACGTCTGACTTTTCCAGATCCTGCCAACCCTACAACATTCCTCCGTGTCACGGGTCCCAGCATCTTGCAGGTCCCTGTTCCCAAGAAGGGATCTCCTGGGAGGCCCTTTGGGTTCACTACGAGTTCCAGGTGGGCATCACGGGGCCCAGTGGCCGGGGAGCCCCACTGCTGCCGTGGGTCAGGCTCTAGGGCAGGGCTCAGCCTCCCGCTGCTGATGTTTGGGGTCTGATCCTTCTCTGGGGAGGGGCCTGCCCCAGGCATTCACAGTAGGACGCGAGCAGCACCCTCAATGCCAACAGCACCACCACCGTCCTTGTGGGGACATCCATGAAACATGAACTCAGAGTGTTAGTCCTTCCATTTCCACAGATGAGCAAACTGAGGTGTCAAGAATCCCACCCAAGGGTTTCACAAAACTGGGAACCAAGGGCTGGGATCTGCACCTGCAGCTGTCAGATTCCTGGGTCACGCTCTCTCTCCTCCGACAAGCTGCCTCATGTTATAAAGGCAACTGGTCTCTGGCCCCAACCCCCTTCCCGGAAGTCACCGATGTCCTTCCCTCAATCACCCACTCACCACAGAGGGTCCCCCAGCTCACTGGTCCATCAGCATCCTTGAAAGGAAACAGAGCTGCCCCCTGAGCCCAATGGAGGAGGATGAGATCAGACTGTCCCGGGCTGGGGCTGGTGCAGATGCTAAATAATTCATGGGCTGCTGGGAGGAGGGCTGCAGCTTCCGGAGGCTTCTGTGGGTGCAGACAGCAGCCAGGAAACATCCTGGTCCCCGGTTCCTGTGTGGGACCCAGCACGTCCGGGGGCCAGAGACTGATTCAGCTTTGTGAGAATGGATCGGAAGGCCGACAGACCTTTACTAGCTGTGTGGTCATGGGCGAGTCTCTCCACCTCTGTTTCTGGCTCCCACATGAGCTGCGAGGGGCCCTGAACAGGTGTGGGAACCTCGTGTATAAACCAAATGCTGGGAGTGGCACTTGGCAGGTCCTCCTGAGCCAGGGGAGGGACTGCCCACCCCCTGGCCCGGGACACCCCCTGAGGAGCCCGGTGTTTCACAGGGCAGTGCCCTCTGCCCCCAGCATGCAAGGCGCAGCGGGACTATGACAGAGGTCGCCCCCTCTTCCACCCCATTCCCTCTCCTGCCCCTCCCCACCCCCCCGCCTTGTGTGTTGGGCAGGTGAGGGGGCACTGGTCTGGGGCTGGGGGCTCTGGGAGGCTGGGTTTCCCCTCTGAGAATAAATTCCCAACTGAGAGGGGAGTTACTTGGAATCAAACAGCCTGTCCTGGTGTAGAAGACAAAGAGAACATCTTTAAAAATATATATTATTCATAAAGCCCAGAAAAATTCTTCATGAACACAGAGGGTTCCAGTGGTAATGACCCGTTGTGAACAGGGAGTAAGGTCATTTGGTTCCGAGCGAGTCTGAAGTCCAAGTGCTCTGCGCCAGGCCAGAGTCCCACAGGGTAGCTGTAAAATGCACGGGGACATTGGCCTGACCTCACTGGCCCCGGGTTTTCGCCCCTTCGGGCCTCGCGGAGGTGCAGCTGGACCACTTCTCTCTCCGCCTGCCTGGGCCGAGGACCCGACTCAGCAGGGCCGCAGGGCCTGCCTGAACCCCGCAGCCTGCGCCTTTAGGGACCCGTCCCTCTCTGGGCCTCGCGGCAGGTCCCCAGGGGCCTGTGCACAAACCCACATTCACTGCAGGCTGCTCCCCGAGGCCGCTTGGCGCTGGGAAGGACTCACGTGATCTTCTCATCTCCAAAAGCAAGATAGTCCCTTTGTTCGTTGTGAGGGATCTTGGGGCCACTAACCTAGATCAAGAGAAGCCCGAGGCGCACAGAGCTCCCCGCCTCCCTTCGTCAGGGGGAAGTTACACTCATTCTTGGAACCGAGCAACTCAGTACAATGGATCATAAATGGTGGGGGAGCGGGGGAGGGTCACGCTGGGTGGACAGCCCTATTCTCACCTACGGGGCCCGTTCACCCCATTTAGCTCTGGAGAGATACTCCGGTGGCAAAGGCACAGGCTGCTGGGGGCAGGAGGGTGACGCTGGAACTGCAGGACTGAGCATAGAGCAAGGCTGGGCACAGCCCAACCCCCCTCGCTGCTCTCGTCCTCACCCTCTTCTTGGCACCCGGAGGTGACGCTGGGCTAAGAACGGAGCCGCAGGAGCACACCTAGGGCGACCCCCCTTGGATGAGCCATCTCTGCCTGGTACCAGAGGGCGGGGCAAAGCCAGGGTGACGAGGCTCCAGGGATGTGCCCACAGACCGGGAGCTGAGCACACTTCGGTCCTTGGAGTCAGCATCACGCAGGTCCCGCAGACGTCCCCCACTTCCCCGGGTGGCGTCAGGGCCCCCTGGGGCACATCCTGGGTGAGGAGAGCAGGACCAGCCCAGGGAGGGACCCAAGGTGAGGTAGAAGCCTCTCCTCTGCCCATCAGGAAGCGGCACAGCATTCAGGTCCGGATGCCGCTTACCTAAGGGGCCTCCCCAGGTCCCACAGGTCTGTCCCGGAAGAGGCCTGAGCCCCAGTCTGCGTGGTCCAGGACTCTCAGCTGGTCCCTGAGAATGCAGCCCCAGCCTTTGTCTTGAGTCTTGACAGAACCCAGTTCCCCGCAGGTGAGAGGGTGTGGGGCGGTGCAGCACGGGGACTGGGTCCGGGCCACCAGCTCTGCGGAGGAGCGGTGTCTGTCGGGCCTCGGTGGGCTCTGCCCCAGCTTGTGGCCTCCCGCGGTTCATTCAGGGGGTGGCAGAAGGCCCAGGTGAGAAAAGCAAGGGCCAACTTCTGCCACGGCATGGCTCCAGAGACTGTCCTCGATTCACCCAGGCGTGCAGGGGGACAGCTAATGCTGGACACTAAGGGTGGCCAGGAAGGTTCACGGTGTGAAGACAGGGGCATCTGAGGATGGCCATCTGGACAGCCACAGCATGACACAGGGGCTGGGGTGTGGGAGGAGTTTGTCACGAGGGCGACGGAGGCAGATAGGTCTGCAGACAGCTCCTGGGGCCTCCACCACTTGGGGACCAGGAAACGTGGGGCAGGGCAGGTAGGGGGTGGCCCGAGAGCCCCAGCCATAAGCCTCGGGGTTCCAGAGAGACCCCCACTTGGTCCAGTGCTCCAGATCGGTGGCCTTGGGCCCTCCCAGGTGCAATGACAAGGGTAGAGAAGGTGCGGGGCCCTGCCCGGCCAGCACACAGAGGAGGGGGGCATCAGGGCGACGTGCAGTCCAGGGAACAGGGCGTCTACCATCTCGTTTTATTTTGCGGGGACTGAGCCTAAAGTAACCAGAAAGAACAACAGTCAAAGGGGACCCCCTGCTTGGGGCCCAAGTGCTACTGGCTTATGCTAAAAAAAACGGGGCTGGAGTCCCAGGGGAGCTGGTCAGTCTGACATAAAAGGAAACACTTGGGCAAAGTTTCTTTTTTTTCTTCCAGCAACCTTTCACTCCCTTTCAAATGTCAGAAAATAGCTTCTGGCTACTTGGGGAGAAACATTCCCAAGCCTGGGAGGGGCGGGCTTGAGCCAGGGTCCTAGGGTCAGGGTGCTGCTGTGTGTCCGCGCCCCGGCCCCTGGGGCCCGCTGGCTGACCCGGAGCCACAGGAAGTCAGGGTCTCGAGAAAACCCGGCCGGGCTTGGTGAGGCCATGTCTACAGACCGAGTAGGCTCTGGGGGTCAGTGTGCTGACCTGAGGGAGGAGGCCAGGGAGCCACACCCCAACTTCCCTTAAAGCCTAGTCTAACCCTAAAATGGAAATGGTTCTGGGATTTCTGATTCTGGGAAGGAGAACACTGTCCTGCCCACCTTTTGGGGCAGCTACGAGGATGACAATGACCCAGGGCGGAAAGGCCCTGTCTGTGAAGGAGCGAGCAAAGTGGCATTTTAATCATCCCTGCCCAGGAGTGAAGCCAGACACAGTGGGGCCTGACCCATGGCCCCTTGGTAAACCCGCTTTGTAAAGCAACCTAAGAGCCCGAGTGATGCTCCGCTGTGTCCCCTATAGGATCCGAACCACAGCCCCATCGAGAGGCTGAAGTTAAGCCATCTCCCCTTACACATGCCACCTGCAGAAATGCCTGCTGGTGTGTCCACATCTGGCCAGTGGAGGGGGGCCCAGAGGAGAGCTGCCCGATTTCAGACCAGCTCAGATGCTGGTCTGGCCCCCAGACAGGCGCTGACCCAGAAGTTCATTCTGATCACACACAGCAGAGACACCGGCTCAGCTGAAGAATCCTGCACTGGGTGGGGGGCGTCGGCTACTTCGCTGCCTGGAAGAAGGACCCACAACAGCTCTCCCGTGAGCTGGACGTGGAGGGAGATGGGGGAAGGAGCCACCCACAGGCCATTGGAAAACCAAGAGCCGGGTCAGAAACGATGTGCCCAGAGGAAGGGTTAATAAAGCAGAAGAGTGTTTATTAGGACCCTGCCCCTCACAGAGGAGCAGGACCCAGGGCAGAGCACGCCTGTGAAATCTCTCGAGGTTGCAGGAATCTCTCCAGAGACCCTGGAGAACGCAGGTGCTGACTGGCCGCCACCCCGAGAAGAACACTATTTAGCTGAAGGCGACCCTGGCATGGAGCCGGGGTTGGCGCCTGGACTCCACAAACACTGAGGGTGGGTAGGGGTACCTGGGACACCCTCCCAAACACCGGCCAACAGGGGGGGCCTCCCAGCTGAGGCCCAGGCTGCCCTGAGCCATCCAGGGGGCACGGAGAACAGGAGAGCCTGGGGCTCTCGGGCAGTCCCTGGCCCAGGCCAGGTCCCCGGGGCCCTCCCCACACCTGCCGGCCACCTCCTGGCGCCGACTCAGTCCCACACGTAGGGGTTTCTAAAGACCTGAGAGTTCTTGTCATCTTTTGACGGAGTGGCCACCTGGTGGCTCTGAGCTGCGTATATGTCTTCAGCCCGCAGGGTCGAGTTGGCGCTGCCCATCACCTGGCTGTTGGCGGTGGCCCGTGGGAGGATGACGTCGTAGGCTCCTTCGGACTGGAAGGAAGAGCAGGAGGTCTCGGGGCCAGGCTCCACCAGCCCCGCTGCATAAACACTCGGCTTCCTGCGGGGCTCCGCCTGCCAGCTCCCCTCCCCTGCCCCCAGCGGGCCTGCCTGCATCAGAGGAAATGGGGGGGTGACCTCTGACCCCCAGCCCCTTCTCTCCCTTCAGAGGGCCAGGTCTCTGAGCCCGGGACCGAGGCCCGAAGGACATTCCCGGGATTCACTTGGCCCTTTCCGAAGGAGCCTCTTCTCAGTCCCCTCCTGCCCTTCACACCTTGTGCCCAGTGTTGCGTGAAACACACGGAGTGGCCGTCACCTTTCTGGAGCTCCCGGCCTCCCTTCCTTGAGACTCTCGGCCGAGTCCCCCTGTTGGCCCTACCCCCCCCAACAGCGTCACAGCGGCCGCTGTGCCCGGCCGAGGACGGGCTTGTGTCAGACACTGGACGTGCCCAGGGATTCCTCATCTAGGAGTCTCACTGGAGACTTAAAACCCCAGCTCGCTGCCTGGAACCTGGGTGGAGCCGCAGCGGTCCTGTTCCTGTGCAGGTGAGACTCGGCCGAGGGCTCGGAGGGTCCTGAGGGCCCCGCCCCGGCCCCACCTGCCTTCCGGAGGGAAAGCTGCCACGGAACCCCCTGCCATGAAGGCTCCTGGGACATCTCAAGGGGCGTTCTCGGACCCGGGTGTGCGGCTGAGTGCCCGGGACTATCTCAGCCTCGCCCACACCCCTGGGGTGGGTGGGAGACTCCACGTTAGGAAGGTGAGGCCACGGAGGATGCCGACCACCGGTGCCTCCGCCCCACTCGCCCTGCCCGATGTGCACTTTTAGCGAGATGCCACGTGCTGGTGGTGCTGAAGACCTGGGGCTGTGTTTTGAGAATCACGGTTGGTCCAGATTCTCCCCCACCCCCTACCCAGAAAGTGAGGGGTGTCAGGTGTGGGCTCAGCTCCCGGAAGGGCCGGGGCTGGGTGTTTCAGAGACCTCAGCTTCACCCTGCTCCGGGCTCCCAGCGGGAGGGGGTGAGAACACCACCCTGCTGACCGCCCTCCTTCCTGTTCCCAGCACCCTGCCAAGGCGGTCACTGCCCTCTCCGGCTCGCTGCCCTCTCCCCACGGTGTCTGCCAGCCCCGGAGGAGGAACATATAAGGAGTGAGTGAATCTAACCCACCTTCCTGTTCCCATCCCCTCCCTCTGCTAATGGAGCATCTGGCTTCCAGAACCCAGGGGAGGTGTGAGGGCTGCTGCCTGAGTGTGGGGGGAGGGGAGCCTCCCCTGAGACAGCTGGGGTGGAAGAGTCGATACCCACCCAGACCTGCTACTTCCTCCTCTGTCCCTTTGGAGCCCCCCAACCTCCCGAGAATGACACCCAGCCCAGCTGGCTGAGGCCCTCCTCCGTCCCTCCCCAAGCTTCTGCGGGGAGGCTGGCAGCGCCCACTGGCTTAGAGAGCTCAGCCAGCAGGCCCCACAGCGCCCAGTCCTAGTTAGTGTGTGATGCCCCAACAGCACAGGGCGGGCGGGCACCCCCCACGACGTAACCGAAGACAGTGGGCACCTCAACTCCAGGAAAAGGGCGCAGCGAGCTGGAGCTTGGGTTCCCCGAGGCAGATGCCCCAAACGGGGACGCCGGCCTCCTCCCCACCACCTGCACCCTGCCCCACACTGGCCACACGGCCCTCCACCTGCCCACAGAGGCTGAGCGAGGCAACTTCCACCAGGGTCAGGGGACTTGGTCCACTCACCGGGCCTTTGTGCATCAGGGCCATCTCGGTGGGCTGGTACACGCCGGTCAGCAGCTGCCCGTTGTACCCGCTATACGGTGACACTGGTCTCTTGGCTGCAGGGAAACACAGGAGAGGGTTGAAGGCCAGGCTGTTGGCTCCCTTTCCCGGCTGAGAGCAAGGTTCCAGGGCAGGGAGTGGGGAGAGGACCAGGGTAACCGGGAGGGAGCCCAGCCCGCGGTGGCCACCTTGGGGGTGAGGCCGTGTGGGTGTGGGGGCCCCTCTGGAACCCAACACCCCTCTGTCCCGATGCATGAGGAGCCGTGACGCCGCCTGCCTTCCCCACGGGCTTTCCTGCAGTGTAGGAACCCCCACCCCCGCCCTTCATCTGTCAGTTCAGAAAAATGCTCCTGTTAGCAACTTTCACATCCCCATCCGCCACCCTCTGAGGCCAGAGGCCACGAGGGGAGCACAGGCCTTCGGCCGCCTTCCAAGATGGCCAGCCTCCAGCTCTGGCCTCTAGGGCCGTGGGCCAGCGGCCAGGAGCTGGGGTAAGTACAGCAGAGACCCCGTAGCCCCAGACTCCAGGGGCAGAGCTGGGTGCCAACTCCCTACAGCCGGAAGCCCAGAGTCCCCCAAGGGGCCGAACACACATCCTGTCCTGCCACCCCTGGGAGAGTCTCCAGGACCTCGTTCGGCAGCAGAATCCTTCCCGAGCCTCCGATGGTGTGCTGGTTTCCTGATCTGTCCCACCCTCTGGGCACTCCCAGGGTGGCTAAGGAAACCTGCTAACCCCAGGCCCTGAGAGCAGCCTGGACCTTGGTGTCTGTCTGTCTGTCTGTCTGCGGCAGTCTGATGGCCCTGCAATTCTGAGGGACCACAATCACACAGGGCTTCTACATGCTGGGCTTACTCAATTGATTTTTCCATTTGGAAAGAAAAAAAAGCTAAAGGAAAAAAACCTGTCACATTCCCAGCAGTATTTGCCTCGAGAGGACAAAGGCTGGGGACTGTTCCGCCCTGACAAACACGCACAGGTGAGAGCAGAGGTCAGGGCGGCTGGGGGGCCCCCAACACCGACCCACGAGCCCCTCTCTCCCGCCAGCCTCATCAGCTGCACCCCCCAGCCCACGGACACTCAACTGGCCCCACTCTGCACAGGCTGGGAGCCACCCTGGGGGGCAGACCAAAGGCCAGTGCCTGGCAGGACGAAGGTCACTCCTCTCCCCAGAGCAGAGATTATGGGACCTCGGTGTGCAAAGAAGAGGCAGGGAGTCAGTTCTTGGGTCCTGGAACTTCCCCTGCCTACAGCACGAGCCCCAGGAACTCGACAACCAGGCAGCTAAGGGCTTCAGCCCCCGAAGATCTTGACGAGCACAGTCCAGGGCTGGGGCAGGGCTCTGAGGCCGCACCTCTGGCCTTCTGGGTCCTGCCAGACGGAGGGGCTGTGGCCAGCTGGCGAGGAAAGCCTGCTCACAGCACCTGGCACATAGCAGGCACCCAGTAAATGCTAGTGGTCCTCACAGTTTACAAGTGCCAGGGAAAAGCTCCTTGTCCCGGAGAAGGGCCATGTCTGCTTCCCAAGCTGCTCCCTGGGGACACGGGGCCAGTGGCGGGGGTGGGGGTGCAGGGGGAGGACCTGGCACACACTGCTAGGGCTTCACTCCCCCCTTCCTGCCTCTTCCGCCGGTTGCCCTCAGCCGGACCACGGAGCTGCCAGGAAAGCCTGTCCCATGAGCAAAGAGCCTGGACAGGAGCTCGGAGCCCAGCTGGCTGGGTAGTGGGTGCTGCTTATTAGACCGGTATATAGCATGAGTACTTTTATTAAAAAGGAAAATGATTAGTCCTGGCTGGGTAGCTCAGCTGGTTAACGCATCATCCTGATACGCCAAGGCTGTGGGTTCAATCCCCAGTCAGGGCACATAGAAGTATCAACCGACGATTGCACCAATGAGAGGAACAACAGACCGATGTTTCACTCGTTCTCTCTCTCCTTCTCTCCCTTTAAAATCAATGCACTGAAAAGACTTTTAAAGAAAACTAAGGTGACTAGGGACACGTACACCGTGGAGAAACAAGCTCTGGAAGGAAAGTGATAATGATCATAAAATAATAGTAATGCGCACAGCTAACAGCTAATACTTCCAGAGCACCTGCCGGGTGCCAGACGTGTGCATTCATCGGTCCTCACCAGAATCCCCTGCCGCAGGCTCCCTCCTCATTCATCCTCAGGTTACCCATGAGGCGACTGAGGCCCACGGAGACAAACTACCCATCGACAGCGGTCAGGTCTGGGGACGGAACAGGAAGGAGCCGGGTGGAACTGGGGGAACGGCTGGGAGAACATTTTGTTTCATACGTCGTGTTTGAAATTTTATGGTGAAAATATGGTCATGAATTACGTAACTATAGTAAAAAATACCTTCCACAAGGAATTTAGGGACTTTAAGGCAGAACGCGATAGTTCAGTCTCAGGGGCCTTGCTGGGGACCAGCCCCTCGTCCTGCGGCAAAGGCCGCGGAAGAAGGCGGGGAGGGGCCCCGGGACTTACCCGAGGCCGGCTCGTCCATGGAAAAAGCCTTGTTCTCCACAAACATGCTCTGGCCCTTCTGCTCTTTCAAGATGGTCTCGTAGCCCACGCCCCGGGTGGGGTACAGGTCTCCCTGGTAGCTTTGCTCCGGGCTGGCCTTGGTCACCTGGGACACCTCAGGGATGACATAGAAGAGGACGAAGGCCCAGGCGTTGGCGGCGAGGGCGATGGCCAGCGTGGGGTCGTCCCAGGTGGGCCTGTCGTGCTGCCGGTTGCCGTAGGTGTACATGACGATCCACACCACCCAGATGGCGATGGAGGTGGCTGTGGCGAGCAGCACAAAGACGCCGTGCTTCCGCCAGCGCTTGAAGCGGCCACACAGGGCGGGCCAGGCCCCCGTGAAGGCAGCCAGCAGCAGCAGCATGACGTAGATGAGCGCCATGACGAAGTCCATGTTGGCGATGTCGCAGGGGGAGGCTGCCACTCCACTGGCACTGCCGTTGTGCAGAGGGTGGCCCTCGCCTCCTCCCCGGACCAGCGTGATGATCAGCCACTCCGTGTTGATGATCACCTCCACCAGGGTCAGCAGCAGGGCCACGGTGAAGATCACCCAGCCCCGGGGCCCATGGTTCTTTCGGGCCAGGAAGTTGAGGGCGAGGACGTGGGACACCAGGCAGGAGAAGCAGATGGCGAACAGGACCCCGAAGAGGAACCGCCGGGAGGCGCAGGTGGAGAAGTCGGGCTTCACCACGCAGGCAAACACGAGGCAGAAGAGGCCCAGGGTCCCCAGCAGGAAGAACACCTGGGTCCCCAGAAGGCTCCTCTTCTTGGTGTCCTGCACGAAGGGGAGGCTGGCCACAAGGATGATGGTGAGGACAAACGTGGTGACGACGCCCGCCCCCGCCACCGCCTCCAGGACGATGCCCCACGCCCCAGACTGGTCACACAGGTTGTAGTAGAGGGGGTTGAGGTCCGGGCTGCAGCCGGGCGGGGCGCGGCTCTGGGCCTGCGCCCCCGGGAACAGGAAGAGGAGCACTCCCAGGCATGTCAGCAGGGCTCCGAGGGCGGCCATCCTGGCTCCCCGGCCAGGCTCCCACTGGGTCCCTGCAGACAGAGGGAGAAGAGGCAAACTCAGTCCTCCAAAGTCAGACTCTGACGCGGGTGCAGCTTCCCTGATCCCGAACCGGGCGGACCGTGCAAGGGGAATCATGAGATTGTCCCCCTGGGCTTCAGAATCCTTCTTAACACAGAACTCTTGGGAGGTATATGGACCAGAGAGGCAAGTGAGATTCCTACCATCCCTATTCCTAGTCGTAGAAGAGAAAGAGACTGTCATTGAATTTTCAGGTCCTACCCCTCACCAACCAGAGCCTGGGCCCCAATTTTTCCTGAGGTCTTGCGGCTACGGTGGAGGGGAGGGGGTTCATGGGCACGTCAAAACCAAGCACGCCACCCATTCGGCACTTCCCCTCTTGCTCCGAGACTTCCAGGGCTCAGCAGGCCACATACCACGCCCCTGCACTCTGTCCGTGGGACACCTGAGTCCACGGTGAATCAGCCCTGAGTTCATTCAGTCCTTCATTCATTCATTCAGCAGGCATTTAACAAGCACCTGTGACGGGGGCTTACAGCCAAACAAGGAAGGAAGAGGTGGAAAGTCGTACCGGATCCTCCTCGGCACTTCCTGCCACTCCTCCTTCCCACTTCCCTTCTCTGCCTGTCACTTTCGTACTCTCGGTGCCAAGGCCTCTCCTCAGAATCCACAGTTTCTTGTCCAGCTCAAATGCTGGAGTCTCAGAATAAAATAATTTCCCAGCTAGGGAGTTAATAACTTGATGCAAAAGTTCTCCTACGAGGCATTAACATTTTAAAAGCAAGAACCCGGCAAGGGCAATGCAAAACCCAAAGGAATCAATCTATAATGAAACACTTCAAAGCGCTGTACCTAAAAGCAAGAAAAATGTCTTTTATTCACACCAGGAAGCTCACGTAGGACTCTACCCACTCATTCAACTGGTCCTGGAGAGCAGCCGCGCCACAGGAAACCAACCCCCATGCTCGCCACCACCAGGAATTTTTCTGTACGAGGTGGAGGCGGGGAACGGGGCAAGTTAAGAGAATTAAAGACCGAGTGGAGGGAGCTTTCCCATCAAAGGCTTTACACCTTTATTTGGGAGAACAGACAATTTAAATGTTCTAAAATGGAAGTTACAAATTCCCAAATTCTATGAAATGCGGGCGCTTCACATTTAAATCATTCCACAGGTTCAAATAACGAGGGATAACTGGCTATTCTTGCTCGCGCCTCTTGGGCCCAGGAATTCTCCAGAAAGACAGCAACCAAGCTTTCCTGGGCTGATAGTGACCACTAGTGGCTGGCAGGGGAATGGCACGAGCCAACCCTCCTTCCCACCATCTTGCTTCCTTTTTTGCACGCGTTACCTCCTGTGTTCTCATCATTCCTGGTCACTTAGTTTCTTTTTTTCTTCTTTCTTTGCACTTTTTAACCCTCACCTAAAGATATTTTCTCATTGCTGGGGGAGAGGGGAGAGAGAGAACATTGATGTGAAAGAAACATCGATTGGCTGCTTTCTCCTAGGTGCCCAACTGGGGATCGAACCCACAACTTGGGTACGTGCCCTGATGGGGACGAGAACCCAGGAACTTTTGGTTATGGAACAATGCTCCAACCAACTGAGCCACACTGGCCAGGGTCTTGGTTACTGAATTTCCAACAGACAGACAAAAATCCTAAGTCTCGGTTGACATAAATTGTCTCTCTGTAATTAAATGAAAGGACACCAATACTAACTTAGGAAAAAGCGAAACTGACATAATAAAGATGTATTTTCAACATCCTTTAAGATATCCGACATGCCCCTTGAAAACATTTCAGCCTTCTTGGCTACCTCCTCGTCTTTCAAGTAAGCTTGCATTTCCCACTAACTCGTTTTAGTAAACTATTTTTCAACCCCAGCTGCCATAGTGACTGGCATTTATACACCCCAGGAAGTGATCTCCCATCAACTCAATAAATTAACGTTTTAACGTGAATCTTGCTGCTACTGTTTTCCTAAATAACGGGCACTGTGACAGCGCCGGTGCCTCCTGACTTCCGACGCAAAAGCACGTTTCCCCTACGTTGTAAGTACCGCATGCATTGGTACTTACACGTGTCGGACGGGGAGAGAGTCGGGGAGAAGGGCTAACGGGCCAGGGGAAAGGCTGTGGCCCTCCAGGAGGTGGCTTACAGATAACACGCTAGGGCACCCTGAGCACCAGATCCCATCTTGGGCATCCGTGGCTCCGCAGCACAGCAGCCAGAATTGGGGGTAAAGTTGGGAGACATGGACCTGAACCCTGAGAATGGCCACCCAGGCTTAGCCTCCCAGTGCCTGAACATCTTTGAGCGCTTCTCGTTCCACCTGCCTCTTCTGGTCCGGGTTTAGAACAGGCAATTACTCCAATCTGCAAATATTTACCAGGCGCCTGGGGGCCAAGGCCCAGTTGTTCTCAGAACTTTAGAAAGTGCAAAGCGGAACAAACACGGTCCCTGACTTGACGGTCTTTAAAAATCTACTAGGAGACAGAGCGTTTAACAGCTTGCTGCGCAGCATAGGTCATCAGTTTGGCTCAACAAACTCTTACACTTAAAAAAAAATCTAACAGGACAGGTAAGATGGGTCTGTGAGGAAAGTACACATGGAAGAATAAAATGCCACACAGCAGATGTGACCTCTGCTACAGAAACTGAGAGAAGATACTCTCCTAGGGGTCAGAAGGGATGCAATGGAGACCGGCCGTCAAGTTCACCAAGCATGAACTAAGTGGCTAGCTTAAGTCAGATTAGGAACATCCCAGGGAGGGCGAGTGGAGCACGATTCTAAAGGCAATGGGGAGCCACCGGAGGCTGAGTTTTGCCCAAAGAGGGGCATCGGCGGGTTGTGCTTCAGGATTTGAGTCTGGCACACAGCACAGGCCACTGATGGGTTGAGGACATGTTTGCCCGGTTTAGAGATGGAGACCAAAGGTAAGCTGTAATGGGCAGATCTGAGAGATCCTTTCCGAAACAAAATCTAAGGCCAGGTGGAATGTGGGGGAAAGGATACTACGCCTTTGCTACAAGTTCAAGTCTGATAACAGCCACGTCGTTCTAAAATACCAAGCCAGGGCCCTTGTAGGTCACGCCCCTGGATCCACCTTGCTCTTGGATGCTCACCTGCCTGGCCCCTCCTGCCTCCTCCAGAACCCAGCACCTCACAGGCACCTGGGCCAAGGCCAGAGAAGCTTCACAGCCCTCACCCCAATTTTCTGTGAACTTTGCTGCTGGTCGTGGGCCACACCCTTCAAGTTTTGCCTCTGGGAGCTCCTACCGACATGGGAACTTCCAAGGAAGGAGACAGGAAACTGTCCTTCCTCCTCAACGCAGGTAGCTTCTGCCCTGCAACTCACCAGCCCCAGATGAAACCAACCACTCCTACCTGGTATGTCTCATTTCTCTGGTTTCCTGGTAAATGGAAGGATGAGTGGGGAGACAAGAATACACTGACTCGGGTGGGGAAATTGGGCCAGATCGGACCTGGCTCTTGTCCACTGCCTAGGAGGACAGCGGCCCCTGGAAGCCAGCAGGAGACTTAGTACAGCAAACTCAGAAGAGTCTGATGTCCAGGAGTCCAGATTCAGCCAGTCAGCTGATGCCCCCCTTTAAGCCAGTGAAAGAGCAAGGACTTCAATGAAACGGACCCAGCTCTGCCCGAGACTCTTACTCCCATGGGCCCCTGGAGCCTACACATCTAGGCTGAGTCCTCTGAGACCTGCGCACACACGTCTCCCCTCCGGGCTCTAAGGTCTGAGAGCAAGCGACTCAGGTCCCCTGCAGTATTTCGTGCCGTGCCCTGAACACCCTAGGCACCTAACAATGACTCACTGGCCCTACTCAGTGCCCACTGCTCCCATACCAGCCCTGCCTTCTTCACTTTGGAGAGCTGTCTTCGGCTTTAAGGTTATCAGTGGGATTAAGGGGGTGACCCTCCTTCTGCTCCATGAGATTCCCCCACACCAGGGCTGCAGCCCAGCCCCCGCCTCAGACACTCCTCCTCCCTGGAATCATCAGTCCTACAAATATTTTAATCACCTCTGAAACCAGCCTTTCCCCAGGCTCCGCTACTCAGCCCAATCCAATTCCAGAACCCCCTCCTGCCCTCTGTCCCCCCTCAGGGGAGCAGAGGGGCCCCACCAGTGGCAGCGGTTTCAAGGCCCAGCCAGTTCCGACTGGCTTCACTTCACCTAGCAAGGATGCGGGGGCAGCGGGGGGGGGGGGGGGGGGGGGGGGGGCCTCAGCTTTCCCAGAACAACCAACTCCCTCCCCTCCCCCAACCCACACAAAGGCTTTCGAGTCACCCCGGAAAGAGCACCCAGGGCTTTGCCTGGCTGCCCAGTCTGTCTCCCGGGCTCAGGAGTACAGAGAGACACGGAGTATGGCCAGGTTACCTTCAAGGGGGCCGTGACCCTCGAGAGCTCCCCGTGGGAGGCACCTGTGCTCGCCCAGGAATGCCACAGAGCATCCTACTTCCTCCCCGGCGCCACCACTCAGCGCTCCGTCAGGAGAGATGGATGGACCCACCGACAGTCTCCCCCCCTCCTCCGATCCATCTCTTCCTCCAGACCTGCGGGTAAGGAGCTACCTCCCTGCCCTGGTGGGGGGAGGGTGGGGGAAGGGAGGGAAAGGGCGCTTCCTAGAACCCTGGTCTAGACCCCACACTGAAGGTGCGCCTTTGGGCCAAACGTCCCTGAGCATTCTGAAACTTGAAAGTCCCCCATCCAAGGCTCTGCTCAGGAAATGTCACTCTGGAATGCGCCCCACCCCCCATTGCTCTCCCTCCGCCAGCCACACGTGAAGGCTCAAAGCCGGGCAGGGGAACTACAGGAGCACAACGCTCTGTTTCCACAGGTTCTGGCCCCTGGGCTCTAGATCCAGGCTGTGGAGCCCTTAAGTGGCTGGGTTTTCCCGGGTGTAAAATTGCGGGGCCGGGGGTTAGGGGCGCTGCTCAACCTCTGCGCTGGGAAGGGCCCTGGGAAAGTCATTGACGGTGGGGGGAGGAGGGAAGGGATCTAGAGGCCTCGTTGCCTGAAGTAGAAACTCTTCGATCGTCTGAAGTCCCAAACTTCGGACAGGAACAGAGAATGCTCCCCTTTCACTCCTCCCGCCACCCCCGCTGGGTCCTGCGCCTTTGCTCCTTCGGAACCGAAGGAGGGGGACAGCCAGCCTCCACCGGCCACAGAAACCTGCCCTCCCTGTGCACTGTAAAGGACAAGGGCCCACATTGATGGTGGATTCTGGGTTCGCCCCCGCCCCCAGTCCCTAGCAGGGTCCGGTTAGGAAAGTTTCTGCGACCGAGCGCAGTTCCAGCCGCGTCCTCCGCTCCCAGGTTCTTGCTGCCCTCGTCCACTCCCCGTGAGTCCAAGCCGACTCTTCCGGGCGGCCGAGGGGAGGACGGAGAGGGAAGGAAGCCGTCCTTACCTGGGACGCGCCACCCGCCCTGCTCCGGCGCGCGAGGTTTGGGGCCAACTCCTGCCGGAGGCGAGGCGCAGGGGGAGGTGGGAAGGACTCGGTGCAGGGCGCGGGGCCAGGCCCAGCCCTGGCCTCCGGCGGCTGGGCCGGGGCAAGGGGTCGGGGCGTGGGGCCTGCCTCTCCCCTGACCAGGGCTGAGCTGGCCAGAGATCGGTCGCTCGCTTTCACACTGGCCTCACCCCGCGCCGGGTTTCTTTCTCTGGGCGAGGGTGGGCCGGCCCCTGAATCACCGTGACATCACCTCCATTCAGGCGCTGATCCGGCAACCGCAGCTCCAGGTGTGCGCACAAGGTTTACACTGTAACAAAGCCCGCCCGGCCCTCCCCCTCCGACTCACCCCCAGGCCTCCTCCGAGCTCCAGCTAGTCGCACTTTCCGGCAGGGGAGGGAGATCAGAGTTTCTGGCTGAGCTCGCCAGTGGGTTGTTGCTGTTTGCTGCCACGCCCCCGCGCGGGGGCGCGCACACTTACACGCACTCAGTTTCTGGACTTGGCTTTCTCTCCGGAAAGCGGTTTGGGTACAGCCCAGCGCACCTCGCGGGCGGGCTCTCTTCCCCTACGTATCAGCGCGCGCAGGGACTCGCACCGGGACCACCTTGGTGCGTTTCTCTGTGGTGGACACCTAACCTTTGTCAACTTCGTCCTGGCTCTCCCGTGAGACAACCGCCAGACACAGCTCGCTGCTCTGGGCTGGAGTGAGAAGCACACTCACAAAAAGTACGCCTTTGTCACATCTTCTGTGCCCCCCGTCCCCGAGCTAGCTTGCACACGTGGACACAAGTGCGCGCACCTAGTGCAGTGGGCCGAGCTCAGAACCACTCGGGACTGTGAGCAAACATCTCGCCCCAGACCTGACTAACCCGCGCCTGGGTTTCCAGCGACCAGCCCAGACTCCGGCCGGCTCGGAGCGTGCGCTCCTCTAGCCCCATCCCAAGTCCCTGTTCCGACTTGTCTCAATTAGCTTTCACGCTGCGGTTCCCCTAGGCGCACTATTTAACCCCGCCCCAGAGGTCTCTGCGCTGCGGGCCCCTCGGTCCTAACCCCGAGTCCCGCCCCTCCCATTGCCGGGGGACTTTTCCGCGAGTTCCGGTACCTTCAGCTCTCTCCACGGCCCACGTCCACTCCCAGCCCCCCGGGCTGGATCAACGGGTTGCCTCCCTTTCCCTTCTGGCCCCAGGAATCAGCAGAAAGGGAACCGCAGAGCTGAGGAAGCGAGTCCAGGCTGGGACCTCCTCAGCCCAGTAAACAAGAGATTTTCCAGCAGCCAGACGTCCCCCGGGACTGCGAGCTCCGCGCTAGGTGGGCTGCGCTGTCCCGGGCGCCCAGCAGGGCCTAGTTAGCACTGGCGGGAGGCCCGGTGGGACCACAGCGCACCGGGAAAGGAGAGGTTGTTGGGACTGACCGGGGCCCAGGGGACACGGAGGGAGGGCAGGGCACTGGGTCTCCGGGGTGCTGGTTCTGGTGACGCCGAGTTGCCTGGGGGATGGCCAGAGGTTCGCGGTGGGAGCCAGCTGGTGGCAGGGCGAGTTCGCTCAGCCTGGAACGCCGGTGGGGGTGGGGGGCGAGCAGGCGCAGCGGGGGAGGAGGGGTGGCAGCTGGACAGGGGCCAGGGGGTGGCAAGGTTGGGGGGAGGGGTACCTCCCGGGCTGTTTGTTTTGAGTGCCTAAGTCTATGACAACCAGGAGTCAAACTCCGTGAATCACTCTGAGCCGCAGGAGCGACAAACCTCAGACGGGCTCCTCCCCTCGCACACCTGCTTTTCGGACAGGGAAGGGAGTTGGCTTAGGGCAGAGCTGATGGTGGGGCCCTGCTTTTCCTAGAACCTGCCCCTTTTCTGTGCCTTGCTCCTTGCGGCTGGGGAATGAAGATTGAATTGTTTCAGTTCTTTTAAATATGAAGCGGAAGAGCGCAATTCTATTGCACTTGTTGTGCCTTCCCTGGGTCTCCCAGCCTTAACTCCACCCCCCACCTCATGCCCCCAGGTGAGGGTGTGCAGCAGAGCTTGTAAAATCCCAGCAGCGGGGTGCCCACTAGGGAAGGGTGAGCCGCAGGCTGATCTCAGCCAGACGAAGAAGTCACCTGGCCTTGTGCTATAGTTCATTAATGAGGCTAGTAAGGCGGAAATCAGTTTGCGGAGAGGGGTCCCTCGTTAGCATGTGTGACCAGCCAGTTCTGAGAGGCAGGAAAGGTATTGGGGGAAGTGGTCCCGGAGACTGGGACTTGGTCTAAGAGACCTCATGGAGACACAGATGGGTTGTGGGTCCCTTGAAATTTGCTCTCAAGCTGTGGGCGCCCCTTCACTCAGAGAGACCTCTTCCAAGAAGCAAGTCTCCACCTACACCCTAGGTGCAGGCAAAGGGAAGGCTGGGGGACCTGATGCCTGGCCACCCACGGGACGTCCTGGGAGTCGGGGGACAGCAGCTGGGCTCAGCCCCACAGCCCTGCACAGAAGGTAGCCCTGGAAATGTAGGGCAGTTTTCTGAGAACTGTTGCTTGTCCCCTTTTCTCTTCATCTCACTCTGGAACACGATCTGCCTTCAAAACAAAGCAAGGCCCTGGGGCAGAGGACCTGGGCCCCAGGGTCCCAGCGCCCTCGTTCATTCCCCTGGGGCCTGTGCCCCAGAGGTGGGGAGACTGAGAGCCTCACCCCTGCCCCAGCCCCTTGAGTCTGAGGTGGTGGGTGCAGCTGGCCACAGCGGGCCTCAAAGGGAAGCTCTAGTGGGAGGGACTGTTGCTTTCCAAGGCTCCAACTACAGGGTCGTCTGTGCCCCCAAATGCCCTTCACCCATTATAGTAACCCACAGGCACAGAAACCTTCAAAACTCCCATTTGCACTAAGAAATAGCACTTCGAGAAGCCGCCCCACGGAGTGTGCGTCTCCCTCCCTCTCACCCGTGGAAACTGCCTTTATTCCTTGGAAGACTCCTTCCTCTCTTTGGCCTGAAACAGTCTATGGCTCTGACAAAGCCCAGGGGTCAAGAGCAGCTCTGCCATCCGCGGCAGCTCTGTGAGCTGGGCAAGTCACTTCATTTCTCTGAGGCCCACGTTCCTCCACCATAAAACTGGTAGGACGCCACCCCCACAGCTGTCAAATAATGGGCAGAGCCATTATTCTGGGGTCCAAACAATGGCAGCAAGGTTGAGATGAAGCCCCGAGACAGCCCAGGGGCCTCGGAGACAGCGCTGCGCCCGCCCCGCCTGCCCTGCTCACGGGTGCCAGGCCTTCCTGTGCAGCAGGCGAGCCCCGGGGAAGTCCACCTCCCCAGGCCGGCAGGGCCCTGCCTTCCAAGTCCAGAGCAGGGGCCTTGCCTGGGGCCCTGGCGGAGCCTGCCTGGAGTGCAGCTGGCTCCCTAGAGGAACTTCCCTTTTGCCTGGGTAGCAGAAGTCCTGGAGTGCAGGGTAGCTGGCACTGAATCTCTTTCAGGGGCCATCTCCTCCTGGGGAGCAGGAGGCCCCCTTTCCCAGCCGGTGGAGTGCCCCTGGCCTTGCAGTCTGGGCCCAGTGGAGTGAAAACAGTTCCCTTCGGAGCTGAGGGCGGGCCTCTTGGCTGCCTGACAGATAGGTGCCTGGAATCCGGTGCTGCTGGTAAACAGACTTTGCATTTGCCCTCTGCTCGCCCCTGCGGCCCCCTCCCCCTCGTTAACTGGTTACTGCCCAGGTTGCAGTGTCTGGCTGTGTGTCCTTTTTCTCAGGCTCACGGGACTGTCTGCTCAGAGCAGCAGGTGTGTCCTGGTTTTGTAAGAGGACCCAGGTACTAAGATGGCCCCTTCAGAGGCGGGAAGCCAGGGGACAGGGGGCAGGTGAGTTAAACACGCATTCACCACAACCGGCTGCCCATGGATGATCCCTCTGGAAATGTACCCGGAAGCGGGCCTTGGACAGAGCTGGAATGTTACCTGATGCCCAGCCCGGCCGCACCTCCCCCTCAGCATCCATGGCTCAGTGACCACTGACCAACCCCCTGCGGAAGAAGCAGCCTGGATTTTTAGAGCTGCCCAGGTCGGGACAGCCTCCACCCACCGACTGAATCTAGAAACCAGGGTCAGTGCTGAGGGTCCAGGACGTAGGCCCCTCAGTTTACCCGTCCCTTCCCCTCCTGTCCCCCAAATGTGCAAACAGTGCTGCCATTAGGCCCCCTCTACCTTCAGGGAGAGTCTTACCCCAGATCCTAGACCACTCCACGGGTGGGCATACCTTCTACCTCACCTCCACACACCCTGCACATCCCCACGCACTGGGGGGCATTCATGACTTCGCCCACCACTCTGCTCACGACAACTTCACCGGCTCCCACTGCCTTTATAAGTCAGAGACCAAACTCCCTGGCCCGGCATTCACGGCCTCTGCAGCCTGCATTCACCCTGGGGTCCAGCCTCATCTCTCCTCTCCCCCACAGGAAGTGGCCGCCCCAGCCTGGAGTTCAGCTCTGAATCGGCCACCACACTTGCCTTCCTGTGGCTTCTCTCATGTTGCCCCCCCCCCCACTCCAGGCTGCCCCACATTTCGGCCTCTCTGAATCAGTCCCCCTTTAAAGCTCTCTGCGCCTGGCAGAAGCGTTAGCTGGTGATCCTGCCATGGTGCTCTGTTCCCTGCTGTGCTCCCAGAGCCCCCGCCCAGCACCGCTTTCCCCTGTTAACTGCATCTCCTGAATAGAGATCTGGCCTCAGCGACGGGAGAGGCTCAGTGAGAGTGGACTGGCTGAGATTTCCTGCTCATCCTTCCCAGCAGCCCTTCAGAGGGTGCTTTATACCACAAAAGTGGGCGGTATGTGTCAGTGGGGTGACCTGCAGAGAACTGAGAGGTGCTAACTGCCTTCTCTGAGGGGCGGGGCCTAGGCTTGGCCTGGCCGCTGCCCTGAGCCCTTGGCTCCCTGTGGCCCCCAGGTCCCCAGGCCAAGCAGTGCAGAGCAAGGCTGGCTCGTCTGTTCGTGCAAGACCCAGACTAGCAGCTGAGGTCTTCAGGGCACTGTGCACCTCTCAAAGCGTCTTTTATGTGTGTTTGAGCTGTACAACGCAGTGAGCCCCACAGGGCAGATATTCTTATCTCCATTTCATAGATTTACAAACTGAGGCTCCTAAAGGCTGAGCAACTCGCCACGAATTGGAGCCCATTTGTTTGAGCCCTGCCGGCCTCGCAGGTACTGTGCTGCACCCAGGCGCCTACTCATCTCTGGTGCAGCTCTTATGTTCCTGCCTTTTTTAAGATTTTATTTATTTTTTTTAGAGAGAGGGGAAGGGAGGGAGAGAGGGAGAGAAACATTGATGTTTGAGAGAAACATCAGTTGGCTGCCTCTCGCACACCCCCAACTGGGGACCCTGCCTACAACCCAGGCATGTGCCCTGACCTGGAATCAAACCAGCCAGGGTACGTTTCCCGCCATCCTGATGCTCATTTAGGCATGAGTCTTGTGTCCCATAAGCTCTTTGACAGAAAGCTGTGTGCCTGATCCCTCTTCGGGTTCCCTTGGTGCCTTAGCTACAGTAGAGCCTCAATAAATATGTTTGCGAGGGAATAAATAGATGAAGGATCCGCACAGGCCTGCACCAGAGGACGCTGGCGGCAGAGAGGGCCCGGTGTCAAGCAGGCAACCTCCCTCCTTGGCTGTCGTCCCTTCACCCAGCCAGCCCTTCACCTTCAGAAGCCAGCCTCGATGGTCACATCCTCTCTGCACACACGAGGCCTGCCCTGCCTCCAGGGC